AAAAAAAAAAAACACTGGCAGATTTAGAGGAGGTTCAGGGGGCCTGCAAGCCCCCTTTTTGTATCCAAAATATACACAAGATTTAATAAATCAATTTTTATGTGCCTTTGGGCCCCTACCCCGACCCAAAACTGGTCGGCCCCCTTTTCTAGATTCCTTAATCCGCCACTGAAAAAAAGAATGTGTTGTTCTCTTGGATGTCGATATCTGAATTATATTTTAAACATCCTGTCTAATATATCATGGGCGCCCATAATAGGACGATTATTTGTTTTTTAAAATAAAGTGGTTCTTATAAATGTAAAAAAAAACTTACAAACGGCTAAGTAATTATTTAATTCATCTAGAACAAAAGTTAGTTTAGTTATTTGCTTATATAATCTAACTTTTATAAATTAACACGAAAGTCGTGCGATCGTATACAAATACTCAGAAGCAATCTTCATATTTAATGAACGTATAGCGTATAGGTGAATAAATTGCCTCTCATCGCTATACGTATACCCCCATCCCCGAAATAAATAGAATGTTTTCCTTCGCAGCCGGTAATGTAAGTACAAGCGAGGATGGAGCTTTACAGAAGCAGGTGATGAATTCCGAGAGAAAGGCACTGCCTATTTTATATACATGTACATTCCTAAGGACCTGGTTTTCTGAACCGATGTCACTGTTATTCAAAGACCTAGCTAGAAATTCTCTCTCTCTCTTTGAAATGCAGGCCCGTCGATCGTAAAAAAATGACAAAATAATTTCAATTTTTATTATTTACATTTGCAAATATTTTTCTTCGGTGAACCTATTGAAGAGAAAATATGTTCAATTCTGTACAAACTTATTAGGGGGTCAGAGGTCATGGCGTGACCGTATCACACAGCGAGATGATATCTTGTCTACATATTTCTGTCCCGGTGACACTGGTTTCGGAACTTCTAAGCCGTTAAAGCGATGAAAAAAATAAAATTATTGAAACATATATGTTTTTTTTCGTTCAACAAATGATCATTAGTTCTTTCTTCGGTGTGAAGAATGTTTTTAATTAGCCTAAAATCACGCTTACCTTTTTAACCCGAAATTCCTTTGAAGGTATGTAAACTGAAGACGATATCACCGCTTTTGACTTCATATAAAGAACTCATACAATAATAGTAAGATCATTCTCAGTAGCGATCATTGTTTTTTTTTTAATTATGAATAGATATTTCCTGAACTGGACTGCTGAACAGCAATATAAGTATTCAAATGTTGGAGCGAGGCGAACTCTCAAGACCAAACAGCTTCTAGGTCACTTCGCGTCACAACATAGCATGAATACGGCGGGCCGTTCGTGTAATAAATGCAGTTCTTTTCAGAAAATTCGTCTCAAATGTAAATAAAAGTAATAAACAACAATGTTAAAAAGTTCTCTGGGAAATGAACTTGGTTGGTACCTGGTCAAATCTGAGAAGCCCTTAGGGCTTCACAGGATTTGATCACGTTCAACCTAACCTTTCCCAGAGAACTTTTTAACATTGTTGTTTATTTCTTAAATAAGTATCTCATCTCCCAAGCCCAAAGGCCCAAAGTAAGCTTTTCTGTTCATAATTTTTCAGCTTTGTTTGCTTTCTTGGCGTATATAAGCGTTATCGTCGTTGTCGTTCTAAAGTTACTTGTAAAATGTTCTCATTTTTATCTTATCAAGAACCACTGGGCCATAACAACGAAAATTAACATAAAATATTTTTGGTAAAGTTTTGTTCAAATGAAGGGTCACATCCTCTTTTAACGGATACATGTAGTAAAAATTAGATGGGGTCCAGGTGCGGATCAAGGAATTTTTTTTCCACGGGGGGGGGGGGGGGAGGGGATCCCAATAAAAAATATTTCAACCCAGAAATTTCTTGACGAGCCAAAAAAAAGAAATTCTTTTCACAAACGTGAAAAACCTATTTCGTGTGTGTGTTTGTGTGTGTGTGTGTGTGGGGGGGGGGGGGGGTTCGTTGACTTTTAAAGCTTCATACCTAAGACTTTTCATACCATTTTAACACAGATCCGCGTTATCGAGGAAGGGTCTGCGTTTTCTAGGGGGGGGGGATGGTTACTTTTACTTGCTTTAGTATATACATTTAACTGCCCCCAACCCCCTCTAGATCCGCGCATGGGGTCATTTGAAAATAGTATTCTCAAGAACCCCTGGACTAGAATGAGAAAATTTCCAACATAGCATACATTCATTTTATTTTTCAAATCTTGATTCAAGGGAGAAGGTTTGGGCCGGAAAGAGTGTTCATAATTTAACATAGGAATTTATATATCCCCCCAAACGAAGTGTGTTGGTTTGGGGTGGGGGTGTTTTGAGTCTTGGAATCACACTGTCCGTCTGCCTAGCTGTCCGTCTGTACGTGATAGTTTGCCCAGGATATAACTTTGTTATGAAGAAACTGGAAGGTCATACTTGGTACAAAGATTACTAATGATCCGAGGGTGTGTCATGGTTTTGATCCAACATCATTCCGGCAAGTTCAAGGTCACTTAAAAAAATAGCAAAGTTTTGTCCGACTCATTTATCTGTAATAGAGAGTCACCGGAAGCTCACTGGATACAGGAATTGCTTATGACAAAAAGGGTTTGCCACAACCTTCATTCAAGGTCATTCCTGTAAGTTCAAGGTCACTGACAGAAAAGTGTAAGATTACTGTATGTGCTATAATTTTGGAAGCTCATACTAGGAACAAAGATTGCTTATGATCCACCGGTTTGAGATAACATAGTACTAGATTGGCAGAAGAAGTGGCAAAACTCGTGCCTGGATTATAAATTTATAAGGGGTGGGAGGAACACAGGAAACTTTTTCTCAGATTGCTTGAGATGGGTTTGTCCTGACCTTGAATAGAGGTTTTTCCCGCAAGTTCAAGGTCACTGGCAGATAAATATTAATTTTTTTTTCCATGCTATAACTTTGTAATATAAAACCACTGGAAGATATTACTTGATACAGAGATTGCTTATGATCCAAAGATGTGTTTTGACCTTGATCCAAGGTCTTTCTGGTAAGTTCAAGGTCACTGACAGAAAAGTGCAATATTCTTTTTCAGGAATATCTTGGTCATTGAGTATCACTGGAAGCTCATAATTAGTTTAAAGGTTGTTTTTGACCTTAAAATAGGTCATTTAGGCAAGTTCAAGGTCACTGATACAATAAATGTAAAATTCAAAAAGGTCTAGTCGCCCACGTGGCGCAGTGGTAAGAGTGTCTCCTCTAGAGTCGTGGATTAAGGAGTTGATCCTTATGTCGCAGGTTCGAATCCCACTATGGGACGCAGAGACCGATCCTTCAGATGAGACTGTATAAACTGAAGTCCCGTCTGGCATTTGGTGCTGGCACGAAAAAGATCCTTCACTGTTCAATGGCCATGAGTGCCGAGTATAGGTCAAAATTTGCAGATCTCCATCGGCAAATATGGTGGCGTCTCCACATGATTGAAAAATTCTCGAGAGGGACGTTAAACAACATACACACAAACAAACAAACAAACAAAAAGGTCTATAATTTTGTAATAGAAAAAATTGCATGCATTTGCATTTCACTGAAAAGATGATAAGTATATCATCCAAAGTGTGTAATGGCCTTGACTTAAATTCGATGTCACTTAGAATATGATGTTTTGGATGAATAGTCTGAAAGAATACGTGACTGTGAATTTTTTTTTTGTCGATGACATACAGATGGTGTTTGCTCTTAACCAGCTGCAGAATGTGTCCTGGCTTGACGCACGATTATTTGGACAAGTTCAAGTTCACTGCAGGGGAATTTTACATTCTTTTACTGTCTTTCTACGGTTGAAACATTGGAAGTTGATGCCCCTTACAGGATTGTTTATAACCTTAAAATGTTGTATGACCTTGACTCAAGGTCGCTATGTTTTGTCCGGAGCTCCGACGGAAGACCTATTCGTTGCATTGCAACGAGCTCGGCTCTAGTTATTTTTATTTCTTTTTTCAAGTTTTTGTGATTACTTTTGAATGACAATTAAAGACACCCTAAAATTTAGCTTTCGTAATTTTCAGATAGAAGTTTCTAAACAAGTTTTTATAATACATCGGTCTAGTAATATGTAAGTCATCAAATTCTACCAACCATTTTGAATTTTGAAATTTCAAATCCATCCATGCCCCTGTTATCCTTATCCCAGCCCCAATGCCGTGGTTTGCAGAACTTCAAAATAATATATGAAGATAGTAATAACTATATGTTTATTCGGAGTATATATGAATACATATAAATAATACCAAGGAAACCCCATAAAAGCGTATTTCAAGTGGGATCTTTGCATTGCACGAGGGTTAATTCCTGTGGGAGGAATGCGGACTACCCATGTGCGGAGAAAATTTACGTGTCCGAGCGGGCGTCCACCATACCCTCTCACATAGGACTACTGCCAATCACAAGGATCGAACTCAGTGAGGAGCGCCACTGCGCTACCCGGACATCCTCATATAAATCTACAATGAAATGCTTGCATACTACCGGGTAATTTGACTTGTCAAGGCCCTGTAATTCTTACCCCCCCCCCCCCCTGTGAAACTTTAATCTCCTGTTGTAACCCTACTCTATCCCCATGGACCATGATTTGGAAAACAAAACCGATATACAGAGTTGTGCATCTTAATGGCTACTTGTATACAAAGTCTTATGAAGTGGACTAAATCTGTAGGGTGAGTAGCATTACCACAGATGTATCAGTACTGCAATACTAACTTGTACATTACCTGTTCCAAGTCCTTTCTCTGTCTCAGTACTGCACATGCTCTTCTCTGACCAGTAGAAAAATTAGTTTCATTTTGATTCACACGGAGTAGTTTTTTTTTGCAAATATCCTAGTAAACTTGAATTAGCATTAGTGCATGCTATATTCAAAGACTCAGAATTAATTTGTACTTGAAAGTTTCCCCATTTTCAACAATGCTGATTGTAATTTTGTACAATACTAAAATATTGATGAAGCATAAATAAAATCGCACAATTGATAAATATTGTTCAATTTATTGAATCCAGTCATCACTTTCAATTCATTTAAGGAATGGTAATCATTCAGCAAAATTTCAAAGGTCTTGCATGTTTCAGTTTATATTTTTACAATAAATACATAGACCACAGAATTTTCTCCCTTTCTGTCAAGGTAACAACCAAATGGCTGAGGATGTGAAAATTCCAATACTTTCTTAATTGTCCTGTTCTGATGACTGTTCAGTCACAAATATGGCTGGGCCACAGAGACAAGTCTGTATTCAAAAATACTAGATATGTACTTATTTTGCAGAATTCACATATTGGTTCTCAGTCACTGCCAAATAATGTATTTCTTTTTAAGTGATGAATATAAACATCAAGAGTACTATAAATTCACATGACTGAGCAAGCAAGTCATTTATGTACAGATGTGATAAATTAAACAAATACTCATACAGTACCATTTTAAGAATTTATCAATGAATAGCCAATACAAAAATAAAGACATCACTATTCCATTTCTACATAAAAGATGATGATCAACAAAGTAACATACACCATCCCAAACATGTCAATAGTTAATGCTAAATAAAATGATGTCAGATCTTCAGCCTCAAAAAATTTGTTACTAATGTAAAATGTCAATATCTATAAGATGCTATACAGGGTAGTGATGGTACATTGTTACATACCAAACTAGCTTTACACACATTTTTTAATGTAAATAATTATATCAGACATATGTAGTAGATTATACACATGTCCATTAAATTTGATACATAAATAAACACATTTAGCACTTGTTCCACACATTGTAGATTACTACAATCATTATCGTGTTTCTTCGACAAGTCTTGATGATAATATTATCAGAATAAATACATAAAAAATTTATCAAAAATTTCTTTACAGAGTATGACAAAATTAGCTAAGCTTAGCAAAATCAAACAGTATAAATTAAATATTCTCTGATATAAAACTTAGTGACAATTATATTGTATTTTTCAGTTCTGATCCTTTCAGTTGCATACAATTTCCTTAATATCTGTGTATTTTTTTTTCAAATGGGCTTAATGGTATGAACACATAGTGGTTGAAATATCCTGGAAAATACACAAATTTTTGCAGTATCTCTCATTCATTTTCACACATCAAGAACATAATTTGGATGTACTACAATATAAGGGTCATCTTCTCTAATCAAGCTATCCTGTCCTTTCATTCCCGTCTGTGTCAACTCAATCAAAACATGGTCCTGCAAAATACGATGGAAACATGAAATACACATGTATATAAAAATGGGATAAACTTTTTAAATCATGCTGCTGCTAATTTGTTGGAATATTTATTATATAACTTTTAAAAATCTTAAGATCATTTGTTGTGACCTTGGCAATATCAAGAAACTACTGTAAACAGAAAAATTTAGTGTGGGGATAATTTAAGCTTAATAAGAAAGCTTTCATGTAAATATCCTACATTTTATTCAGTTTTGAAAATACAATCCAACTATTGTGGAAATAATCCCCTTGCTACTGATTTGCATAAAAATATCAACATTTACAGCAGTGTTTGAAATAACCGTGCGCCCAACCGCCCAAGACCCACAAATTCTGACGAACAGATTTGAACTTATCTGGATGTGTTAAATTTTGCCATAAATTAAAATTCATCTATTCAATAAATATCTCTCAAATCAACCAATAGCAAATGGGTAGAATTCGACAGTAGTTACATTCAGAATGGAAGTTATATTAATTGTGCCCCATTTATATTATCACTAAAAACAAATTTATAAAAAACTTATTTTCTCAGGCTGGTAGAGTTTTGGCAGGGCTGACAACTTTCACAAGCAGTCAGCCCTGCATGTCTAGTTAATTCTACCGTGACTTTCAAACACTGTTTACAGTAATATAAAATTTGCTTTGCACTTACATGGTGTACTAATCTTTCAATGACTTTCTCCACAACAGTCTTTCTCTCAATAAGTTCAGCTTCTGTGTCTATCTCATTCTCAATTTCCTTGAGGTACCAAGCAATTAGTTCACTTCTTCTTAACCCTGGAGTTTCATCCTCTACAAAACAAAGTGTGGTTTGAAACTATCCATATTAAACTTCAGTATTCCCAGAAGTGTCACATTTTGTCATCTACATATACATGTGTCACTACAATCACTGCCAATGGACATACATACCCAGAGCTTCTTCCTCTTGTTTTCTCATATAAAGCACCATAAGGTTGGCCATCTGTTTGTATTCTTCGTACGAAAGCTTCAGACCCTTCTTATGTTGGTGACTTGGAGCATCACCTTCAGGACCCGCTGGTTCTGCTGGAGCCTCTGCATTCTCTGTAACCAGACCCATAATTAACACAACAAACTACAATACACATCTTTATTACTCAGTATTGAAATATCTTTTCATAATAATCCAGCAATTGGCTTTCTTTTTTGTAAAAGTTTTCTTTACCTTCAACCTCCATCTCCTCTTGTTTGTCCTCCTCTTCCTCTTCTTCCAGATGAACATCAGGCTGTTCCACACGGATGATGGATTTATTGAGCAGACGGAAAGCTTCTTTAACATGCTTAGGTTGTACCTGAATTTGAAAACAAAAATTATACAAGTCTGAAAATCAAATTCCAGGATAATATAGCTTAGAGACATCTGGTCAGATTTCTGTACCTCATCTACACAGTAAAGCCTAGCCATGCCCTCTGACAGTCGGATCATACTCTCCAGCTGTCTGACAGTGATCCTCCAGGCTGACTTGTGGGCCCCCGAGCCATCCCTCTGTCTCAGTCTCTTATACTCCTCCACCATGTATTCCTGGGCATCAGCACTTATCTAAAAAGACACAGAGAACCCATCAAATCAACAAACCTTCCGCAAGTTTCATGAAGGCATAATTCACAGCAAAATATTTATGTAAGTTTTAACAGAGACATGCCTTGGGTTTGAATTGCCTTGCAAACATGAGATATCTGGTGACATCCTCCACTGAGTAGACACGGTCCACTGACTCTTCATTCCTGCTGTGCAAATCAACTATTCTCCTGGCAATGGCATAGTCTGTCACCTACAAATTGAAACATATTTTGTTATTTTTTTTTTTTTTCTAAGTCTTTAAATCCCACTACAAATACATGAAATGTTACACTAGCAGTTCAAAGATGTTCTATGTTCAATTTACCTCATTGCACTCATCCACTAGAATGAAGAAAAGGTCAAATCTGGACATGATGGGGGCAGTCAGGGTAATGTTCTGCTTCAGTGATTTTGTTCTGTCATATCTTCCTCCAATTGGATTGGCAGCTGCCAAGATGGATGTCCTAGCATTCAAAGTGGCCTGAGAGACAAACAAATCTTGTCATATTCTAGCTGTACACTTTTCTTTGTCAACCTCCTTTTGGTTCACAAATCTATGAGAAAATTGTGAAAAATCTCAAAGCAAATATGAAACACTGACCTTCACTCCAGCCTTAGTAATTGAAATTGTCTGCTGTTCCATGGCTTCATGAATGGCCACCTGGTCCTTGGGATCCATCTTATCAAATTCATCAATACAACAAACGCCATTGTCAGCTAACATGAGAGCACCAGCCTCAATAACAAACTCGTATGATTCCTCATCCTTCACTACAGCAGCTGTCAGACCAGCAGCTGAACTGGCCTTCCCACTCGTATAAACAGCTCGTGGACTGAACTCCTCAACCTAAGAAGACCAAACCATTAAACATACAAGATCAATAGTAAAGATTATTTACCTTTAATCATACATTCATGAAAGATATTCGTATCAAATTTTCAATTTTGCAGATAAAAGACTCTCTTTGTATAATAAACGAAGTAAGTGCTGAACCACAAGAATTATGAGAACTGGAATCTGACCTGTTTAAGGAACTGGCTCTTAGCTGTGCTAGGATCACCCACAATGCAAATGTTGATGTCACCACGGAGATTGGTTCTCTCCTGCGTAACCTTGGGAACACCTCCAAACAGCATAAGCAGAATCCCCCTTTTAACCTCTTCATTGCCTGAAAAGCATAAAAATACCAAAATGTTATTCACTTACTACTGTAATATTAAACAAAAAAGTTTTATGAGCTACACTGTATGATCAACTGCAGGTTTTTTTTTGATATGATAATCAAAATCTTAGCAATACCATGAATAGTTGGGAAGAGACTGGTACAGAGATTGTGGTACAGATTTTTATCCTGTGACATGTCATAAACTTTCTGCCACTCATCAGCTGTCATCTGTTTCTTCAAAGTCTCAGCAGTCATTTCATCATCTCTCAAATCTCGGCCTCCAAACTACATCAAAGTACATGCCATACTTAATACAGTTTGAGGATTTGTCACACACAATGTATACAAATTGTACAAAGAAACCATATTAATTATGTAATATTAAATACTTACCCTTGGATTACTTGAAGACACAGAACAGGCCAGGAAGGCTAGCCTGTAGGTGAGATCTCGGACTCCAAGGGCTTTCAGTCCACGGACCCCCTCTGTTTCATACCCTTCAGCTCCCTTTACTCTTGCACCTGTTTCAGCTCTAGCACCTAATACAGAAAGTACATGTTTATCAGATAACATACATATAACTCCAAATCTTTGATATTTAAACAGAAAATATATCTCCTTCAACCGCAAAGTCCAGTCCAGCCGATACCAGGTTTTCTCAAGTGACCCTTTGTAGACGCACGACCTGTGAAAAATTCTGTTTAATAGTCATGGGCTGACCAATTTTTTTGCTGATATCAACATTTTTTGCCTCACCTTTTCATTAACCTGGCTAATCTTTAAACAACACACAAGATAGACAAAAAAAAAAGATTACCGTATATACTCGCCTATAAGTCGGTCCGCCTATAAGTCGGTTGTAATTTTTGAGGTTATTTTGGAGGGATTTGCCATTGACCCGCATATAAGTCGGTACAACTTTTTGAAAGAACCGGTTGACAATTTCAAATCAATGTTTTAACTTGTTTTAGTTAATTCTTTTGAGAAATGATGCCAATATTCAATTTTAAATCATCAAAAAATAAATAAATAAATAAATAAATAAGTACTGCACACTTAAGATAAAGATAAAATTATTGAAATATGTAAATGCTTGTACTTTATGCATAATCTAAGAACACAAAAAAATATATATGCAGACTTTATTCAACGATAATCGTCGGACACGTTTATAAAATACTACATGTTTGCGTTCAAAATAACGCCAATTTTCCATGACTCGCCTATAAGTCGGATATAGAGTTTTGGACCAAAATTCAACTCCCAAAAAACCGACTTATGGGCGAGTATATACGGTAGGCCTAAAAGAATTAACAACTTGGTTCTCAGGCCTGCCCTCATCTCATTCAACAAAGTGCATTACCCATTTTTATCCTCAAACGAATAAAATAAAATTTCTCTCATGTGCTTGTGCAGTGCCAAAAAAAAAATCTGGAGTTCCCAACCGCATTTTGACTGCATTTTAGAAATCAGTAAAATGTTTGACAACATCAAGATGATTCAGACTATTGGCCTAGTTAAAAATCGCAAATATGGACATCAAGTTAATAGGATAAGGCTTAGTCATGATGGCATCAATTTCAGTGCAAATTCATAAGGGAATGACTGTATTACTTCCATGGTACAAAGTGGAGGTTTCTGAAGGTTTTTCCATGCTAGAACTCAATCAATAATGCTCCCAAAGACAGCTCCCTCAACTCGGAACTTGGACGTCGGCAAGATTCACAGATTTCTTTAGTGTGGGTAAACCAAAGACTGATAAATTTGACAATGTTTAATAAAATCATAAGCGCTATTTATAGTGCTGAAACACTCTTGGATTAGTTGTGTTACATAAGCAATTGGCCAGATGCATCACTAAATGTTAGGTTCTGTAAGTCTAACACGTGTCTGGTTTTTAGGATGCCGTCGTTTCATTTCACGAATCATCGGAGTGTAGAAGATGCAAGAGAAAAAGAAAGAAGAAGGAAATAAATGATTGATTTCTACACTCAATGTTGAAGTACTGTTGATTAAAAGTTGCTAAGTTTTGAAATTATTAAAAAAAAATCAAAAATCCCGTGTCTGTTTTTTATGAGATAAAAAGGAAAAAAAAAGCCTCCCTCCCGCATTTATTTTTGAGAAAACTGGCCTGAGAACCAAGTTATTAATTTTTTTTCGCCTTACCTGGTAACGACATGGTGGCGACATCAGGGACAACAATAAGAGTTCCTGTGAAGTCACACTTGTCACCAGCCTGAGCCGTCTCTACAGCCTCCGCTCTCAGAATCACCTCCACACTGTATAACAATAAACAGGAAAACAGTCATCAACTTATTTTGATTTTGGAAAGACTTATTTTGACATAATTAATTACAAGCATTTATAAATACATATATTACACATTAATAAGGTGCTAATATTTGCAAAGTACTCAGTACCAAGCTCATATTATGATAAATATGATATTCATCGCTGAAATCAGCGCTTTTTTCCTTATATAACTGGTACCGATAAACGGTACCATTCCCAATGCCAAAAAACGTTAATTTTTCCCAATTTTGAGACTAAAAATTCCCAATTTAACTGCCAAGCAACAGACTACGATGACATCGTATTTCTTTTTATATGAAACATTGTACAAGTGGACCAATTGTTTCACTTTCGCTTAAATTGAAAGTAGAGAGTCTTAATATGGCAGGACCTGTGGTATAGACAGCGTAGTGTCATACATTTTGACAAATTGAAAGCATGAAAATGCGAAAAACAAGGGACAATGATATGAAAAGCAATAAATACTTGTTGTTTATTCGTTAAATCATGGAGTAATAGGTAATGAGGTTGGAATAAATGCAAAATATGTTTCATTTGTTTGAATGACAGAAAATTCTCCTTTATTCTACTTTGATGCTATTTTCCCAATTGAACAGGTATTGGACCCTTTCCCAATGGGTAGAAAAAATCACTGGAAATACTAATTTCGTCATTTATAATTTTGCTGTATGATGTGCATGCAAGTTGTTCTGCTCACCAGTTAAAATCTACATGTATATATGTAGCGAGTGCTGTTATTGCCACCGAGCCACATTTGATTTTACTGAATTTCTGAGGTGTTACAATTTGAAATTTTTGAATCATCATAACTTGGCTAAAAAATGAAAATTAAACTTGCACCAAGTATTTTCTCAACTGAAATAGGAACAAAGTTGAGACTGTAATACTTATTGCAGGCTTCATACCGGATACGTTAGAAATACCTTCTGGGAATGCTTCCTCTTGGAAGTTCAGCTTGTGTTTCCTGTATCCGAACTTTCTGAAAGTCCACAAATCTGGATTTGTTCACATCCAACATAAAACGGGACCTGTTGTTACATACAGGGTTCCTGCAAATGCTGGGCTAAAAAAAAAGGAAAGAGAATTTTGACAAAATTTTTATAAATTGTTCTAAGATGGTTATTTTCATTGATTCATCAAAATTGTCTAGATTTGGCATCTTTGATATCTTACAGTATTACATTCATACTATACATTTATCCCTACTCAACATTTGAGACAATATCTGGCATGCATGTTTACCTGTGTAAATTTGAACTGCTGTTCTACATCTGGAATAACTGTTCTGCAGTCCAAACACATGAATGTTCCTAGGACCAGCTCCGGATGAACTGGGTGGGTTCTCACCACTTGGCCGGAGATTCGTAAGAGAGTTCCAATTTTTGCTGTCGTCATCTCTCTCACCCTAAAACAAAAGTACATATAATCATACTTAAAAAAAATTAATAAAGTCAATCCTTCAAAATATCAACAACAAAAAAAAATCCCATTGTCAGAGTACAGTTTGGATAATAATTATAGCATATACTGTATTCTCTTACTTCAATCTGGTGGGTACATCTGTGAAACTGACATAATATTCTTTTCCTTGAGGTGTTTGAGCATAGTCCTTCACAAAATTTTTGACTGCTCTACATAAATATGGGTAAACTCTGAAATTTAAGAATACAATTAGTACAATTCAATAAGATCCCGCATTCTCCAGACTCCATTATCAAATATCACTTATCAATCTCTAATTACTGCAATTTACACTTTAAAGTATTACACATCTTAAATTTTACTAACATACATATATTTGACATTGATATATTAAATGCTATTCACAGTTGTCAAAAACCATTTGTCCTGTCAGCAAGGCTAGTAGAATATGTCTGGACTAATAACTTACTGAAAAGCATTGGTCTAAATAACTCTTTGAAAAAAAACATAAGTGAATGTGGTGTCAAGAATTTTGACATAAGGTTAAAACATGTTATTGCAAAGATTGTTTAAATCTTATCTTAAACTTCCAGATCTATTTATTTAATATCTACCTAATAGGACAAATATTAGTGCAGGTATTTAATTAGATTGAATTAAAACAAACTAGTGTTTCAAAAATCGGACCAAATTTGCTAGAATCGGTAGCATGGGATCGATTACATGATCGATAGTTTAAACTTCAATTTAAAGGTTAAATTAAATATAGTTAACACCATAAAATAATCAGATGTCATATTAAATGAAAACATTATTTAAATGAAAATATTATTTCAATACAAATATAAAATTTTCTATTGATTGTCACCAACAGTGATAATTTTTCGACAGTCGGCGACTGAAACAAACACACTATTTCTCACTTTTATCACTGTGATGTACATGAGCCAACGACAGAGGTAAATGTATAATAACAAGTACTCCTGTATTAGATGAAAATTTCAGACATTCTGTTTCAAGAACATAGAAACAGTCACTCTGATAACAAAGAATCAGGGATCAACATTAATGGTTGTCCGAATGCCCGGGATAAGTAAATTTTTTTCATACAAATGTACATATTTATTTAGTTTACATTAATTTATAACTTAAACAATAAATTGAACACCTGATTTCCGCCACGCACCTGACTGACAATGTTTCTGCATTTGGAATTCCTTGGTAGCGTTTCTGGATTATACCCTTCATTTAAAAATCGGGTTCAAGATAAGATGTTTGTTTCGTAGTAACTATCTTCCTTTAGCATTGCTTCACAGTTATCTCTGAAAATCACGATTCACAAAAGGATCCTACTGTAAATAATTTTTTAAAAATGTGAATTTCCTTAAAACGAAATTAAAAGGAAAGGGTTATTGCTGCATGGCAGTGTGTGTTAAAAGGTTAAATTTACAAGTACAGTGGTATACATTTATGTACAAATGCAGCATCAAATTTTTTTTCACTGACTGGTAGCTGGTATTTGATAACATTTTTTCTTATCATAATGTTTACAGAAATTGATTTTTTCTTTTCAAGTTTTTTCCTAATTTTGGGCAACCAAGTTTTGCATTGGGACAAGTCAAAGTTTGAGAACACTTGCGCTTCGGGCAAGTGAATCTGAAAGTTAATGTCTATCCCTGATAATGAACCTTCAAAAAGAGAGCTCTCTCTCAAGGACCAAGGAATTGGTTACCTGTAATATTCCTCAAGAATTGTGGTGGCAAGGTTCTGATTGAACTTATCAACATCCTCCAAACTGACCGTCAATGTGTTTCTCTCTGGGCGACCCAGGTCATTAATTCCAACTGTATACTTCTGCTCGCCATCCACTCTAAACCTAAATGATTAATTTCAACTTAATTTTCAAATCCTGTAAAAAAAAGTGTCTTTCCTTTCTCATTTATCCTTTACAACCTTTCATAGAAAAAATTATCCTTTTACTATCCCCCCCCCCTTTTCGCCTCGTCCTTTTTTTTTCTTACCATTTCACTTGATATCAATGCTCAAAGAAATAACAATTTAGAACAGAAATGCAGTTCTTAAAAGAAGCACTTCATTAGTTCTGCCAAGGTATTTACTCTAAATAACGGCTGATTGATATAGCAATAAGGATGAAATTGAAAGACATAACATTACATTGCTCAGTCCACAATTAACTTACTCTTCCAGGAAATCCTGAAATAACTTTTGACATCTTTCACCAACTTGATCTTTCACTTGCTTTGTAACAATGGTCTGTTCAGCAACATCCATGTCTTTTACTTGATGGATGAAATCCAAAATACTGTAACGTGTTTACAACCCTTCACAAAGCCTTTCCCGCGAAATTGATCACGTGACTAATTTGCTAGCCATCCGATCCCGACTTTAATCAAACTCGGTATGATGAGTGAAACGGATCCGTTGTACCAGTGGAGGACCAGGGACGGAATTTTCCTGAGAATAATCGACTGCAGCTTGCTGTTTATTTTGTATATAAATTCAACGTATTGTTTAAGTTCTAGGCAACTTACTTTTTTAAAGGCCTATAGATAGGATCACTACTACATTTATCCTTTGTTAAAATGCCTTCAGCAAGTCAAGGGCCCAGAATTGGTTTTAGTATTTAATACATTTTATCTTATTGCCATTCAATTTTTATTCTCTATCGACTAGGACTGTTTGCTAGAATCCAAAATTACGCTGATAAAGAGCTTGGGTTCACTATCATTTGTTGAAAGTTTGCAGAGAACAAGTGTCTTTGAATACCTTCAGCAAAGTATTGCAAAATGAACACGTGCACCACTCTATGGAAAAATTAATAAAACTTGTTTTATAATCTTCAGAAACAGTTTTTTCGTTATATAATTACACATTTTGGATCAGAGGTTGAAGAAATATATGAAAAAAAAAAGAAATTTAAAATTTTGGTCATTTATGAAGAATTAGTTTTATTGGAATAGTAATGCAATTCATGGCATCGTAATGTATTAAACAAAGAGAAAATTACGTTTATTCAAAAACAGATTTACAGTCACCAAGGTTAAAGTAATATTTACTAAAACCAGAGACATATAGTTTTTATATGTCTCTGCTAAAACTGATCAGATTTTAATTGTTCAGAAATAGAAATAAAACTATGTAAACCTTGCTCGTAATTTAAAATAAGTTAAAATAATTGAACAACATAATATTAATATGAGATAGTCACAAAACTAATAGGCCTATGCCTATTTTATTTAAAAATTAAAAAATCGAAAGGATTTACGAATAAGACAGTGCACAAGTTATTTATCGATAAACTGGTTCTCTTCAGGGTTTTTTGACTAGTTTAGAAGCAGAAATTGCCAGAAAAAAAGTGTTATTCATCGTATGATCAATTATTTACAGCCTAATCAAAAATATTCTCATATTGCAAGGACATAGAGGTAATTTTAACTAATGAATTTGTTTGTTAAGGTTATGTTTTGTGTCTGACAAAGTGACGAATTTAAAAGAAAGTAAATTCGTACAGGATGTACAAACGTGACCATGACTCAGTAAGAGAGTTCTAACAGAATGCTGTAAGCCTGTTTCAGTAATTTGATGTTTATCAAGAAATTTGTACTTTTATCAATGTAACTAATCTTTACCAAGACAATGAGATTCGTGTGTCCATGGTTCTGTGGTTCAGCAGGCCGAAATTGGAGTCAACATTTGTTATTAACTATTATTACATTGCACTTTAAAAATATTACTTATTCCTGTTCTTTTTGAATTCTGTATGTAGATTGTTGACATGTAGCAAAAGAAAATAGCAAGAATTAGATATATGGTAGATATTAAGCATGTTAATTAGCAGAAACTTGTTTGCATTTTGACAATGAGGTGTAGACTCTTTTAATAAATTGTGGTACTAATTATGTCCCCAGTGTCAGACCCAAGGTGTGTGGCCTAATTGATCAAGTATTTAAAATGCATTTTAAATTGATTGGATTAAACAGATTAAACATATAGATTTCTCTTGCTTCTGTTAAACTTAAAGAATTGATAATGAATGCACTGGGGATGACCAGGGCTTGAGGGAATGTATACAATGCCGCTTTTAAATATTGTTTTCTTTGTAAACTATGATTAGGTGAACTCTTACAGCTTCTTTGAAAAAGAAGGATTTGCTATAGATAATTGAGATGCAGATCGGATTTTTTGATATTGCATATTTTGCTTATAAACGTACTAAGTTTTTTGAATGTATCTGTGGGATGTTTCTTGTGAAAAACTTTTTAAAATGTTTACAAGATAATTGGATTTCAAGAATTAAAAGTACAAGTTACCTTTTAGTTCAAAAAATTATTTTTACTAGCTGATTAGTCTTAAAATTGCCTCTATATTACAGACAGTAACTGACCATGTATTCTGAGGACGATGAACTTGTTGGAGACCAGTTCTCTGCTTTTTCAGAGAAAAATGTACGATTAGGTAAGCAGATCCATGGTTATTCTTAACTGGAACTATGGGTAAAAATTTTTTTAAAAAAAATGTCTATTGTAAATGCCCAGCAGGCAATATTAAAAAGTAATTGAAAAGAGTGATTTGTAAACTCTATCATGTCCAAACTTCAAAAGGACTCGAGTCATTTTAAAACTTTGTTTTTCTTCTTCAGACATTAAAATAAGCACTGATAAGGAGAGAAAAAAACTGAAGCAACATAAATTGGAGTTTTGTAGAATTTTTAAAATTCACAATGTCATGGTTATCTGCTTGTATTAAAATCTTTTTAATGCCTAAATCTCAATGAGCATCACTCTGTTTTACATTTGCAAAACAAAAGATTTTGTATATGTCATAATATATGTTTTAATTTCTTCTTTTTAAGGATTCATACGAAAAGTTTATGGGATTCTGCTGTGTCAAATAGTTGTCACCCTTTTAGTGATGGTGATGTTTATGTACATGTAAGTATATTTATAATATATATTTGATTTGATTCACAACCGTGTAAATTTGCATGACCACTTTGAATTATCTTTTTAAACCATGATAAATCTACGTGCATGCAAGTACTTTAATGAAAAGACATAAACACGCACAACTCATTTTGCCCAGTCAATTAATGTTGCTGGAAAGATAGATCCAGAAAAAGAATACTGTACAAATTTCTTCCTTACTATGAAATTGAAAAAGAAATTTATTGGTATGTGTGTATTTGGAAACATGGGGAATTGAAGTGTTCATTGTTGATACTAAAAAATATTTTGTGGAATTTGCTGACAATGTGGTATATTGTCTGTTTAATGAAACATTTAAGGCTGTTTGAAACAGGTAGTCAGCAAGGTGAGGTTTAAAATCAAGATATGAATACTAAAAGAAAATTACCCATGTGTTTATACTGTCGATAGAATTGGTGAATATATCCAACTGTTGGTTGCTTACTTTTGAGTTTACTACATGTACATGTCATTTAATTATTTTTCTCAATCACAGAATTTTTATTTAATTTTTTTTTTTTTAACAGAGAACCTGTAAAAGAGTATTCTATGCATAATCCCTGGATCTGGTATACTGCACTGTAAGTTTTTATTTACATGTATGTTAACTGTTAAAGTCAAAGATCCCAATAATAGACAGTACTTCATTCACAGTGGCACTACCTATTAAGAAAATCCCTGTCATTTGTGAGTGGGAAGATCTGTACATAAAATAGAGTTAAACTCTGGTACAACATCATTTAAAAAAAAAAGTGTGGTATTAGATTACAAGGCAAAAAAGTGCCTTTGTTACAATTTTTGATCCAAAAGAGCAGATCATTATATTTTACATTATTATTTTTTGCAGTTATGATCTTGAAGCAAAATGTTATGACACAAAATGTAATAATCCCATTTCGTCACAACCTAAGTCATTACATTTTGTGTTATGACATGCCTTTCCAAAAATAATAATAATAAAAAAACATGAATGTAATTTACCTCCTTATATCAGCCAATCCTTGCATTTTTATGACACTTGCAGTCAGTATCTCAGCAACATGAGGGTACACTTTGTTTTCTTTCTTTTAGTGCTGTGACATTTGTGACGCTGATCATACTGGTCTGCTGTGATGATGTCAGACGAAAGACTCCTATGAACTTGATTTTCCTGGGTATATTTGTAAGTTGATAGCAGATTTTTGTACAGTCTTCTAATCAGGAATGAAAGTAAAAATTTGAATTGTGCATATCTTTAGGTCACCTGAGCCACACAGAAGACCTATTACCATCTGCTTTTATCCATTTTGTATGTTTTCTGTAATTGATTGGTTGTAAACTTTTGAACATGTTCAGCTTCTTCTCTTGAACTGATGCACCAATTTTGGTTTATATCATGTATGGGTAAATGGAAACTTAATTGTGAATTTCATGGTGCTTTCCTTTTGAGGGCCTAGGGGGTGCCCAAAATCATGAAAATTTGTCATTTTTAAAATAAACTTCTTCTTTGCTCTTAGAAATGAAGCATTCATAATGTTTGCATGATTATAATAAGCAGTGAATCCCTCTACCATAACTGTGAAAATCATACCCCCAATTCTTCCCAGCTTATGATTCAGGCTATAGGTTGGGGCTAAGTTGTATGTTAAAAGTACGTATCCTGATATATCACTATTTTTTTCCAAAAATATCACGATAAATCGTGATATTTTTACACACAATTTTTACTAATATTTCAAATGAATTTCCTTAATATTTCTTAAAAATACGCTATAAAAACATAACTTTACTATTTGAATTTTTATTCATTTAATATAAAGCATGTTTGGATTCTTTAACTATATATTCAACATTTTTTACACTTCCTGCAATTGTCGTTCAATAGTTTGAACAAATAAATGAGTAATTTCTGGAATTTGTAGTTATGTACCAAATACCGGTATTTTAGTATATATGTATCACGATACGTATCACGCAATAAAAAATCGCGATATACCGGTATACAGATAAAATCGCGCATCCCTTTTGACAACACCTTTGAAAATTTTTTTTGCTCATAGACATCTAGCTGACAAGTGCTTTCAACTGAGTAGGGCTAAGTTGGTCTTATTACATCATGTATAAAGAAATTATATTGCCATACCTATACTGGATTCCAAAACTTCATAAAAATCCTTACAAACAAAGATACATAGCAGGTTCCAGTTAATGTTCTATCAAGCCTCTTTCTTTACTCCTCACTAAAATATTAACAACAGTGAAGGAAGAACTTCAGGAGTACTGTGCAACATTATATTTGAGAAATTGTGTAAATCCAATGTGGATACTTAAAAATTCCAAGAAACTTTTGGAAAATTTGAACTCACAAAATTAAAGAAAAAAATCAATAACATCAAAACTTACAACTTTTCAACTCTATATACAACAATTCCCCATAATAAATTAAAGTCCAGGCTTTTTGACATCATTGATAGCAGCTTTTTCAATAAAAATGGAACTTATAAATTTACTTACCTTGTCATTGCATGGTCATTTGCAAAATTATTTTGTTAAAAAAGCATTCTGATTGTACACAAAAGTACTCTGAAGTTGATATTAAAAAGATGCTTGAATTTCTGATCGACAGTATCTACATATGTATGTGGTTTTCGGAGACCAGGTCATCCAACAATCTGTCGGGATTCCCATGGGTACCATTTGCACCCATTCAGACCTATTTTTGTATTCGTATGAAGCAGAATTTATTCAAAATCTTATACATTAGAAGAAGAAAACACTTGTTGTGGCCTTCAACTTGACTTTTAGATATAGCGACGATGTATTATCAATTAACATTAGTTATTTCCATTCATATGTTGACACAATATATCCTAGTGAGCTTGACATAAAAAAATATCACAGAGTCTGACATCTGTTTCATATTTGGGTATTTCACTAGAAAAAGATGTTAATGGTAACTTAACAATAAAGCTTTATGATAAACATGATGACTTCAAATTTTCAATCGTCAAGTTCCCTTACTTATGTAGCATTGTATCCTTATCACCTGCATACAGGCTTTATTTCTCTCAGTTAATTCAATACGCAAGAGCATGCTCTACATGTAATCAGGTATATTAATAATGCATTTTTGTGATGTCAAATGACTTTGTTGATCACTTGATAGACACTTATAAATTCCTAAATGTTGCACAAAAATCACATCGGCAAGTGCAAAACAACATTATTGAGAAAAATTTGTCACATAAGTCAATTCATCGTGATCTTTGGTACATATAAAGTGCTGGGGGCAAGTCTGAATTTTACTTCTTGAGAAAATATTCCAGGAGAAATTCAACTTACCCACATACAAGAGGGCATTTTCCACTCTTATCGCAATTTATACAAAGTAGGATAAATTACATACAATCCCCCAGCAAAATTCAGTTAGAGGACATAATTCTTTAGAAGATTCACACAAAATATCTTCAATTTATCCTTATTAATCACTTGTGCCAGTCAAATATACACAATTTATAAATTCTAACTCTGTCAACGGATGTGTAAGGGGGAGCATTTCACAGTCAATGTTTTGTTATTGTTTGAATATATGTATTTCAGACAAGTTAAAGGAATAACGATATTAAATGGCAAATGCACAACTTCTTAACAGCACACTTATGCTTAAAGAACAATCCACATGCTGGAATCAAACAACAAAGCTAAAAAATCTTTACATGTCATGTGAAAGGAATGTAAAAGTTATGACACTTTCCCCGTCATGTCAGCTCAAGTATGCAGTGACTTGACGTCATATGCTATTATGATGTCATATCTAGATAGTTCAGAGAAGTTACTACAGTTGGAACAGTTTGATATTTTACAGACAGCCTTATCCTAGCCGCGAAAAATGATTATTGAGTCCTCATAAAACTTCAATATTTTTTATATTGGTCCAAAGTTCTAGTTCGGGTTTGGGTAAAAAAAAGGCATAGCCTAAGAAACTCATGATATGCAGGTGACTGTCAATGGGCCTATTACTTTTCTAAGTTATTAATCTCATATTTATTAAAACTTGCACAATTTTCATCTTCTCCAAAAGGAGTTTAAAAATGTATTTTCAGAAATATTGGAATCAGAGTATTAAGATGATAAAAATGTACCATTAAGGCCAAAAAAATTTAGTCAATAGTTTCTCAGGCATCGCCGCATCAGGTCAAACACTGCTGCATTGATCTATTTTATTGACATATTGAAAAGGAGAAAAACTCAAATTTTCTATTTTTCCAAGTTTAAAAAGAAAATTTAGTTCTTCCCCTTTTCATAAATGCTAACGTAATAGACGTTTTTATTAGATAAACAAGACATTTCTTGTTAATTCGGTATTTTATGAATTAATTTTGTTTGGAATAACATTCTTTAAAGTTGAATTCATATTATAATAATCATATCAGTCGATATCATCATATTGTTGAACGACTGACATGAAAAACTGATTTCATCATTTTGTTGAACGACTGACAAAAAAAAAAGGTATAACACCTGCTTCCCCCCCCCCCCCCAAAAAAAAGAAGAAGAACCTGCCTGCCGCATTGAATTTTGAAATTTTTGGCCTGAGAAACTATTAATTTTTTTATGGCCTAAATTTGTTCCGCAAGAGAATGCAGAAAGACTGGTTGAGCTGACATCTCAGTCTCAAATTTGAGTGGGCACACGTCACATCTCATAAATTTAATAAAATAAAAACATGCAATTATTAGGTATTCTTATAAGTTTATTATTTTTTCAGACTTTGTGCGAGTCTATTTTGCTTGGAGCTGTGACCAGGTAATTCTTGTCTATAACTTTCTTATAAATTATTGAATGAAAATGTGCAGTTTGATTTTCCATCACAATCACTATTTTTTTCCTTTTTAATCTGTTTTTGTTTGTTCTTTATAATCATGCAGTCACTATGATGAGGTATCTGTCCTGCTAGCTGTGGGCATCACTGCAGTAAGTACTTAAAGTACAAAAGATGTCACTATTCAACCCATATACACTGTAAATTTTTTTCTTTTACAAATCAAACCATTTTACAAATCAAACTAATAAATGTAATTTTTAACCGTTATTGTAATCTGATATGAATAATCTAAGTTACAATTTTCTTGGTCTTTTTCAAGACCAAATGACCAAAATTTTCAAAGATTTGAAAAAAAAAATGAAATAAATTCTCATGTAAAGGATGATGTGCTTAAACTACTTTCTGCGGCCCCTTTTTCTACGACAAATTATATTTATTCTACAACAATTTTGATAGTTTTCAAACAAAAGGGAATAAATACGACGTCTTTGGAATAGTTTCAATAGTTTCGACACATTTTAATTACGAGGATTAGTGCAATATCTATGATTTTTTAGACCCAATGAGAGCAAAATTCGGCCTGGTTTGTGACAATAGGATCTTTTATGGAAAGAGAAAAGGTGGGTCTTAGTACAATAGAGGGGTTTGCATGTCTGAGGAATCTACTTTATATGGCTATTGTTATTATTTCACAGATAGTCGTTTACCGAAAACAATTGTCCAATGCGATGACTGAATGACAAAACATGCTGGTTTACTACATGTTTACATTTTATCACAGACACATGGCTTAATTAGGTCAATTTACACGTTAATATTATCTCTACTACATTTCAAACATTTAATGGTCAGCAAAGGCTTTTTGTACATGATAATATGTATGGAACCTCAGTGTTTACCGTTTTGGGTCGAGAATTTCATAATGAAACATGTATTCACTGATTCTCGTGAATACGTGTAGCCAATTGCCCAACAACGCTTTACACAACTATGAAATTATACAATGTATATTTATAAATAAATTGTTTGTAATTATGAGCAGGGAAATTGTAGATCCATGTCTAATCTGTGACTCAAATGCATAAAAAATGTTTATCAGAAAACAAGAAAAAAATGTTCCTTTTTCCCAGGTATTAAATTTCCTTCGTATTTTTGCAGTACTCACTAGTAATGCAACTCATATAGCTGATTGGTCGGTTAAAAAGCCACGCCGGTGCCTTGATTAGCATATGAATTTATTCTTACGTCAGAAAAAAATGTTTCGTCGATCTGTTCATTATGGGGAAGACCAGCCAGATTTTGCAATGTTTTGAACACATTTGAGTGCAGTATATATCTATATAGATAGATTTCAAAAAAATACAGCGACCATCCAAAGGAGAAAAATGTACCTACTTGCGCTCGTATATTTTAAGGGCTTCAAAGAGTGGGGCAGGGCCAAAATTCAATTGGAATTGGATGTAAACATCGTACCCCTACTCAAAATAAAGATAAAGATCTTCCAAATTATGTTTCTATTTTTGGTAAAGTAGTATTCCATGATGGTACACCTGTCAGTGATTAAGTGGGCACAAAAGTTAGAGTAAAATTTAGATATTTGTTGTCAATTTACTGGGGGCTGTATGGCACATCATCCTTTTTGTCTTTATTTTTCAACCTTTCAACCAATCCAATTTTTTTTTTTTGGGGGGGGGACATCTACATGTACAAAAAGTGAACCAAGCTGTTTTATATTGGTACACTTTGTGGATATTAAGCATAGGAACACTAGGTTGATACACTGTTGATACATAAATGCATTTAAAGTTGACCTAAAGTTGTTCTTCTTTATTTTGTAGGGTGTATGCTTAGCACTGACTCTCTTTGCATTTCAAACAAAAGTAAGTATGATTTGGTAAACAAACATATCATAATTTTCTTCTCAAATTTGATCCATTTTAGGCTCACCTCCACAAATTGGGTGGGGAGGGGGTAGGCTTATGCATTACTTTTACTTAATATTGGCATTTCATATTAAAGCTTTTGGAGCAGAATTATTTCCAGCTGCTTTTCTTCCATATATTGATCAGAGTTCCATGGTTGATGCATCTAGTATGTTTTATTATAGCAATGAGGTTTCAGATGCTGCATTTTTAGCCAATGTTTTATAAAAGAATGTCAAGTTAATGTGTTTTGGAGCAGGTCTCATTCCCAGTAATTAATTATAAGCCCTATGGTCATTAAAGTTGCATATGATGCATCTAGGAATACACACTACCAGACGATAATAGATTTTACCTGATAATTGAACAGGTTCAAGTTTTTGGAGCAGGTCCATTCCCAAGTTACTATGAGTTAGTGATGGGACATCGGTTAATTTTCATAATCGATCATCGGTTGGAATCGGTTACTGCTTCTGATGCGATTTTACTGATTATAATCGAATGTCATAGTTTTGTATATAAAAAGCAGACTATTACAAGTTTTTCATATTATTTCTTTAACATGAATATATAAAATATATAACATATTGTTTTCTTTGTTGTTTTGCTTCTTTTACACATTCTATATATGCACATTTTGCTTCTTAATTACCTCTGCTTTGTGCTAGTTCAGTAGTTGGCTTTATAACACATAAGACGCCATTTTTCTTTCATTACAAAGAAAAAAATTTTAAACCGTGAACGAATAATTCCAGATTGCATTTTATAAGAAGTACGTTTCCGATGATCGATTATGAAAAATAATATCATTGGAATCGGTAGCATTTTTCATCGACAATCGAAGTTCTCTGATTATCGGTACAACACTACTATAAGCCTAATTGTTACTATTTAAACCTTCATGGATGATGCATCAGGGGATGCACAGTATCAGGCTTGCTTCTGATGCAGGATCTTACCTATATTTTCCATATAAGTAACCAAGTTAAAGTTTTGTGAGCAGGTCCATTCCTAAGTAACTATACATGTAATTTAATGGTTACTAAATTTGCATGGATGATCCATCTAGAGATGCACACTATCATACATGTAAATGATCCAAATGCTTAATCTTGTATTATCTTGGTGATTACACATGTCCATTTCCAAAACTATAAGTCTTACCAAAACCAAGCTTGCATAGATGTTGCATCTAGGGATGCTAAAACTACCAGAATGTTTGTTTGCTGTCAGACTTTGCCATACTTATAAATAACATTCATCAAGATGAGCTTTATAATCTTTGATTATAAAGTTTGGAACAATTGAAAAAGTCATGGAATGCACCATACTTACTGATAGTCTTTGATAATGCTGCAATTTATGTATATATAATTATTATGTATTTCAGTTTGACTTTACAATGTGTGGTGGTCTTCTGTTTGTATTCCTGGTCATCCTAGTAATATTTGGAATCTTTGCTGCGATATTTCACAATAAGGTAATTAAAAGAAAACAAATTGTTATTACATGTGATTATGATTGCGTGTTGTATAGAACCTATTTGGTATTAGAGACATACATGTTAAACCTATGAGATAGGGACCATGATGTAAGGATAAACATGTTTAATGCAAGACCTTCGAAAAATGGATTTCATAGATACATTTAATAAGCATGAATTAAGGGAACTTTTTATAGCAAAAGGGAGGTTACTCTAAAATTATTGCAATAAATCCTATTAAGAATGTATATTGTATATATATATATTCAGAATGAATTTAATCTTGCATATTATAGACTATTTATTCATTGCAACATTTTGTACATCTTTTGATGTTTTCTTTTTTAAATATTTGAAGAAGTACATGTTAATATATTAATATCACCAGGATGAAAATTCTTCAAGTTTAATTGCAGGTATATGTACAAATGTTTTGTATATAGAAATTCCAGTATTATTTGTACAAATTTTAGGTTCTGTCTGTTGTCTATGCCAGCCTGGGAGCTCTGTTGTTTTCTTTCGTAAGTAATGCAAGTTGTCTCAGCAGTTGGAGAGAAATGTAATTCTTCTCCCTCTTTGCATTTCATTTCTGCAATAGTTTGAATGTGTAATCTTGTTTATAACTGTGGTATGCATTTTTCCTCCCTTTTAAATTGGAAAAAAAATTCTTTAAATTCTATTTATGCAGTAAAAGAATCAATGTACCTTTGAAATCTTTTGAATTTTACAAAAAAAAAAAAAAATCTCCCATTGACAAGTCCATGTTTTTGGAAACGCTTTCAGTATTTGGTATTTGACACCCAGCTGATGTTGGGAGGGAAACACAAGTACAGCCTGTCCCCTGAGGAATACATCTTTGCTGCCCTCAACCTTTACCTGGACATCATCAACCTCTTCCTCTTAATCCTGTCCCTTGTTGGCAATGCCAGAAATTAGGTCAAAGGTCAAAGGTTTAAACACAGTGCAATGAAGTTATAGTCTTTTTGATGAGGTTTATGTGGACCATATGTCATGACTGAAAGCTTTAAATCATTATTAGTCTGAAGCGTGCAATCTGTTTTTAATCATACATATTTGAAATTTGTTTGTTATGGTAGTTTTTTGCCCAATCAGTTAGAGTTTATTTCTGAATCTTTTTTTCGGCTTTTAGCTGCCTCTGTTAAGAATTTCAGAAAATGTAATTATTTAGCTTTTTTGAAGTTCATATTTTTTTAACATTAATTTTAAAGAGTTTAAAAAAATGGAATTTCTTAAATTAATGAGGAAATAATGTGAAAGAGAAAAATAAAATTTGAGGCCTGAGATATTTTTACATATCCAAGTCATGGATTCTCTACATTCTGCATTGTCTTTTCTTGAAATTAATTAATATTCATGTATTTGTAAGTTGTTACATGTTGTAGTAATGTAACTTTTTGCCTTTAATTGAAAGGATGCACTTTGCAACACTATTAGTAATATGTAATAAAAAAAAATATATAAGAATTGGATTAAATTCCTAAAAGGAACTATTGAAGAATCCTATCTTGCCATTTTTATTAGTAAAGTTTTATTTGTAACAGTATGTTCCAAATGAACACCATACAATTTTTTTTTAACAGTCCTGTTTTATACAATAAAGTATACAAGTATACATGTAGCAGTAGGGCCATCTTTAAAATAATGTTTGTTTGCCCACTCCCCACTCAGGGTAAAAAAATTGGTTAAGTAGGTAGGTGGGGAAATTTTTTTCCAAGAAAATTTCAACATACATATTGACGGGATGAGAAAATTCAGGAAGAAAAAAATTCTCGTTTCTTGGAGGTAAAAAATAGTTTTGAGTCGGGCCATTTTTAGCCAGTCAGTCAGGAGAGGGCAAACGAAATTATTTTAGAGATGGCCTAGTGTCACAATTTTTTTCCTTCATAATGAATATGTTTGGTCATGTACAATGACTCACAAATGTTCATGTCTTTTCCACTTTGTTGATATTTGTTCAGAGTTTATTGTGATTGTTCACTTTGACTGCAAGTGATGCAAACCCCCAAAACCTCAATAATTCTTCAATAATAACTTGTATGAGTTTATGTAGTCACTTTTCTTGAGAGAATGTGAATATCACTGTATACTTGTAGTAGTAATAGCATTTTTAAAGATTCTTTGATGAATTATATTTTCATGGTTAAAGTGGATTTTTTGGTAAATTCAGTCAGTTTTGTTATGTACATCTGCATGTAAAAGATTTCTGAATTTTGTATTTGATTTAAATAAACAATTCTGATAGAAACAATTACTAAATAAATTTAATATTTTGTGAATATGCATACGAACATTTATAGAAAAACAAATGGTAGCTACTACTATTTGATAATGTTTTATTAAGTATTCATTCAAATACAGCTGAATTTGTTAATCCTGCATAATACTAGCAACTTTTTTCTCATTGAATTATTTTTGGATGAATTAATGATATTTGTCTATCAGTATTTTATTTGATATTTATGATGTTCTTATTCCCGTTAGTGATGCTTGGAATATTTTATTTGTTCTTCATATATTCCATTTTATTGCTATTGAATTTTTTTGACGTCGATTATGTGTTTAGAAATGTATCAGCAGAATACACTTTATATGAATATGCATGTACATGTATATACAAATGTGGAAATAAGTATAATATTTATCATTTTCTGAAGAAAAGTATCTTCAATAAAACTTTCAATATGCATGAAAAATTTACGTTGATTTAGATAAGAAATCTGGGGGGGGTTGGGGGGGGGTCCATTTCATGTTTTGAATTTAGTGTTCATCAAGGCCAAAGTTTTGCTGTTAGAAGGTGCATTGGAAAGAAAGTTCTTTAAACATCTAGTTAAGCAGGGTAGTCACTCTGGACATTTTTTATGATAATTTTTTCGTCTAAATATCTGTGGTGTGGATTCACTTTTCTCTGTTGTTGGTAAATTGTTATTATTAAAGTATTGAAAAAATCAGTTGTTTCTCTGATCTTTGGAACATGTTAGTAATATTAAAATGGAAGAGGGTAATTGTTCTAGAACATGCCCTTTGTTACATCTATACCTATTGTTCGTCAATTCAAATAAAGATTAAAAATGCAGAAGACCAGTTCAACAAATCTCCACATTATATCAAAAAAATCATTGTTTGCAAAATGAAACACTTGGTGCAACATCTCGGAAAAAAATAACCCGAACTTAATCCTGAAGGCAATTGCATGGAGTTTGATACTGTCAGAATTTTCTGACATCTCTTGATGTTATAATTGTTAAATTTAGTACAATGTAAACTAAATGAATTCTTACGCACAAGTGCAGACATAAAGTGGTCAGTTTTAAGGAAGATTTTCCGAAAATTTCATTGAAATCTGTTATTTTTTGTGTTATTGTCGTGCAGAGAACATAAACAGAGAAAGATATCTATCAGTCGGCTTAAATACATGTAAAACTAGATATAAAGTAAATATTATAATGTTTCATGATTGCTAAAGATTGAATAAGACTAACGTTGAAATCCTATTTGATTTTAGCACCTCTAATATCCTATACTGAACATTCTATACTCTCCTATTTTATATCAGTCTGAATATTCTACACTCTCTATGAACGTCTTTGATGGGAGATACTTGTACATGTAAACGAGTTGCCATAAATTTTGCTGGAAAATCATATCCTTTTCACTATTTGTACGTTCTACATGTATGTATAGTACGATATGGTCAATCTGATCAAACCTTCACTAGGTTGACGCAACAATAAAAAAGGAGGGCTAGTGAAGATTTGATTTGATTTTTGTCAGACTGCGATACGGTGAGTCCGTAGAAGAAGTATAGCGCCTTTTCCAGGCCCGTAGCAACGGTTTCACCGGGGGGGGGGGGGATAATTTCCCAAAAAATTATCTGACAAGCCCCCCCCCCCCCAAAAAAAAAAAAACTGATCAAGAAGTGGGGGGGGGGGGCTTCCCAAAATTATCTGACAAGCAAAGTGAAAAAACAAAAATAAAAAAAAAATTAAAAAACAAAAAAAGGTAATTTACTGTACAAATCCTAGAATTTGACAATATTCGACCTCACAACGTCAAAAATGTGGGTGGGGTGGGGGGGTTGGGGGCAGTATCTAAAGGAAAATTTACTTTAGCAAAATACGATACTCAGAAAAAAAGTGTGGGACCGGGCCCCCCGCGTTCTACGGGCCTGATTTCCCTGTATTTCGCCCACTACCAGTACCTGTTACTATAAATAATAGATTTATTTGCCGCATTGGTTTAGGAAACCAACTTAATGAAATAAATGTACGGAACTATCTCTACATGTATATTATCATTTAAAGTAATTGCCCTTAAACTTATGCTCTCATTCAGACTATAAATTCTTTTTAAAACACTTTTTAAAACTGTATACGTGACATTTCAAGTGGTTAACTTAACAGGCAGCCTCTCTGCATATGAACATGTCACTATAAAACAAATAAAATAATTTTCATAATTTTGATATTTTTGGTTTGTTTGACATTTTACAGAATTATGCATTAAGATTTTTTTTCTTGACTGCATGCTTTCAAAATTTTTGTTGCCATGAAAGGTCTTGATCACCATTTGTTTCTAGATCTACTGATGCATGTAAAGTATTTCGTTAAAGAATCCGCTTCTTTTTGTGTCTCTTCTCTCCAAAGAAGTCGATAAATCCCATGTTATATCAAGTCCAGGTAACGATAATTTTCGGGGGTTTGAACGGCGAAGACCTCAGCTCAGCGTACACCACTCGGCTACGCAGGATATTATAATAATAGTGGAGTCTTTCGTGTAAATATACATGTAGCCCCGAGTTAGAGACTGTAGGAAAATAGGACAGTTGAGATATATAATCAATCTTATTTGAGATAATTATGACTATTTTTGCCAGGTACTAGTTTAATTTGTATTTATTTATAGCTAGATTTACTAAATATCATAAAATATTGAAATATTTTGGATGTTTGTAAATGCGCTAAATTGTATGCCATATCGTATACTAAGTGCGCTATACCTCTTTCGATTTTTTTTCCTTGATAAAATATGAGGCCACATCCGAACAAAGTTATTTTTGCGCTTGCTTGATTTACTGAAAAGAACCGTGGCGTAACAATACTTATGACGTCACAATGAAATATCGTCATAACTTCATTGCTAACAACAAAAACTTCGGCGAATATCGAGGAGAAGCTTGCGTTTCTATCGAACTTAGAATTTTTCAGTGAAATCACAGGAAGCAATGGCATTGTATATCAAGTAAGTGTTGTTGATCTACTTAAAAGGTTTATTTTCTTTACGTGAATACATAAATAATAATATGAACCAGCCAATATACATAATGATGCGCTATAATTTGTTGCAGTTTGCCAAGCATAGCAGAGGAGAAATTGTACATTGACGAGGATACGGAGTATAAATATTTTCAAAGTGACCTTTCACATGAAGGTTAGTAAAATATTCTTGTCAGTCCTATGTTATCACGGCAATTACACAGTTGTTAATAACAATTAAGTTTAAATTTATAAATGTTCATAATTTTTTTTGTAGCATGGACAGAAAACAAAATTTTCGAAACAAGGACCCCACTCAACAAAGAAACGAGGTGAGTACACGTATTTTAATATCAATTTAAAATGATGGAATATATTATGTATTTTTTTTTTTATCTATTAAAGGTGGTCAATGAATATATGTCATAGATTAAAAAAAAACAAAAAAAAAAAAAAATACTTTTTCAGTTATTGGGTGAAACTTTGTCAGGAAAACATGAAGGAAAAGAGCAACGTTCAGCAAGAAATAGTAAACATGAGAATTTCTATGGAGGCGCGAGATGTATGGAAACTGAAAGAATTTACGATGTATGAGCGCCTGTTTGAGACTGAAGAAAAATTAAAAGACGCGCGTCACCAGTTCCAAAAGACTGCGTCAGACATGGAAGATTGGGCGTCACTGGAATATCTTTACTGGAGAAGAGACACAGCATTGGAGGAACTGGGGGAAATGCGTCAACAAATGAAGCGTTCCGTGAAGCATCATTCTATCCAGGCCGTATATAATCAGGACAAGCCAACAAAGTTACCTCAAATTAAGAAGGCCTTCAGAGGAAAGACTGTAAAGGAAACAAACCGTCCGATAAGCACAGTTCTCTCCCCTTTGGAACCAGTTGTACAAAGTCCTAAAAATGGAATAAAAGGTTCACCGAAAGCAACACAACAAAGACTTAGAGGCGGGGTCCAATTGCAAGAGACAATCGACAATGATATGGAGGGAGCTCATAGCAAACTGCCCATAAGAAACCCTAAATTATCAACCGAAGAATTCCTTTCCTTCTGGTCTTCAAAGAAAATTGGATCAGTTCAACGAAGTAAATTACCAGTTCCAAATCTTCAGAAAAGTAATGATGGGGACATCTCCCATGGCACAAACATCTTTGGATCTCTGTCTAAGAACAAGATTCCTTTGAAAAAATCTGTGATTTGTTCTCCTGTGAATTCGATCTCGGAAAACGATCTTAATTCTGAAAAGATTCCAGGGAAAGAGAAACTGGCCATGGTACACGCAGACGGTAATCCCGGTTTGCCACTCTCGCCGATTCCACCAGTCGGCAACCACAGAGTGGGAACATCTACTCATTTACGAAGGCGTCATTTCAAGAGTAAATAAAAGGAAGTGATTCTCATCTTAAATGTGATGAGAAGATGGAATTGAATTTGAATTTCCTTGTGATGGCAGTAATTTGTCTTGAAAAAACTTTTTCGATCTTAATAGACTATTTTTATTTTTTAACATTGTCATTAATAATTTAAAACAGATTCTTTTACTTTTTGGGAATGTGCTTTTACTGTGCTCCAGTAAAATGAATGAATAGATGAAGCGGAATTCTTGCCTTTAAAAAATCCAGCTGTTTGATCAAATTATTTGACAATGGAATACTCTGTTGAAATAAAATCTGTATAATAAGAATTTAGCTCGTTATTTCGTCTGTTTTATAGACAATCCCTTAGAGTAAAATGTGACTAAGATTGAATATTCCCTTAGACAATTCAATATGCCTGTCAAAAAAAAGGATAATATTAATCTTCGACACTACAAAACTGGAAGAATTTAAATGTTTCCTCCTAATTGTTGTATGTGAAACTTTCGGGGTCACTTAATAAGTAAATTATTTTTATGTACAGTGGCATGTGTAATATACTACAACATGTACATGTATCACAAACATATTTTTAAAACAGTAATAATAAATTCAAACACTCGGCCCATCGGACAGTCCGACTTTTATGTCCTAAAGTTGTATTTACATCCACTGAATTTCTTCTCCTTTATTTCTTAAGAAAACCATTGCCGTTTATCAGTCAGTAAACAGCAATAAGCATGTCACCTGTGAAGATTTCTTGAGCAGTGGCTGTTCCATCAACGAAACGTACAATGACGTACATATCAATAATACAATGTTTAATCTACTTCAACCTACTTTAGATAATTATTTGTACCGATAAAAATATTAACAATAAAATGTCTTTCTTTAATTGTTTTTAGTATGGGAATTAACGTTGCAGCTATTGCAGAAAAAACACTACATAATCCGCTACCGCGTCAGTCATCAAGACACAAACATATACCAAAAATCAGTTAATATCTGTACGTGTTTAGAAAAAAGTGCGTAAAAACAAGTGAGGCAGACTGACAGAGGACGGACAGACAAACAGACCCCCGGCCCCCTGGTTTCAACGTTAGGTTACTAAAAAGTGTCTGAATGTGCATAGCTGAACGCAAATATTTTGCAGATTGGCAGATTGAATAGGAAAATAGGATATAAACAGATAAAAACAAAAATTAGATATATTTAACTATATGAATAAATAAATTGAGAGCTCGGGCCACGTATTGGTCATGGAGTGCGAATGACATTACAATATTATCTTAAAGTGTGCCGTCAGGCTCTTCATTCGTCATGGTTAAACATCAGAAATGAATAAAATATCCAACTTCCAACCGTTCCCTCTAGATAAGAAAAGACAAATCTATCTATTAGTTTCTTTTTTAGTTATAATGATAGAGTATTGGAAAAAATGTAAACATTAGGAACTCAGTTTCCACATGAGTCAAGGGTAACTATCCGTGACATTAAAATTGTAGGACTTCAGTAGTTTTTTTTTTCAGATCGTTCACTGTTCGTTATTTTCACCTTTTCATTGACATCTACCAGACAAATCGCTTGGACGAGCAGCTAGCTTCTGCCAAAATTAATTTCTTGTCCTGGAGTGGAGTGAATGTATTTTTTTATGTATTGAACACACATGATAGAATTTGGTTTACTTACACATATTTAGAAGGCAAAATGTTTGTATGGTCATAATGAGACGTGAACACTGTACTGTAATAAATATAAACAATAAAATGTCTTTCTTTGTTTGTTATGGAATTAATGTTGCCGCTTTTGCAGGAAAAAAACAAACAAACTACATAACCCGCGTTAGCGGGTTATGTATTTTTTTCTGCAACAGCTACAACATTAACAAACAAAGAAAGCATTTTATTGTTTAATTGTACTTTTAAAATAGTTCGTATTCCTGATTCCTGTACCTATGCTTTGGATAAAAAGCAAGCCAACTGTTTGCAATATGACGTTAAGCTATCTATAGATTCTTTTCGAAACTGTTATATGATTGGATCCTGCACTCTTGCGTATCAACTGGGAAAAGAAAGATAACTCGTACTTATTTTTACTATTTTATTTAGAGTAACTTCCCTTTCAATTAGCAGTCGAAATTTTGACGACAAAGTAAACAATGAAATATATCAGAAAATTCTCTTTGGATATGCCATCATTTGGGCGTTTTATGAAGATTTTAATTGGTGAGAAGGACAACTATATAATGCATATGAGTAACATATGTGGATTTTCTTTTTTCGTCCCCCGAGTCGTCCACACCAAAGGAGGTAAGCGCAAGCCAAAGTGCATGAGAATCATGGGGGCTTGCTCCCGGAGTTAAAAAAATAAGCTTATATATAAAAAATTCTACTAACTATAAGACAAGACAAAGAAGTTTAGTTTATGGATATGATTTTTAAATAAATGTTTTCTAAACTGCGAAAAAAAGCCCATGTGTGAGCATCTTAAAAGGACCTAAAGGTTTTAAGATGAAGGAGCAATCTTCTAAACTTACATTGGTAACTAGTCCAAAAACGTACGGGGGGGGGGGGGGCTATCAATTTCAGTTTGCATGTGTGTATGGGGATTCAACATGTCAAAAAGTTCTTGATTTTAGGGGGAAAAGGGGGATCCGGGGAGGAGTTAGACAGACTTGTTTCATTCGCCTACGTCATCGTTTATGACGTGTCAGTTGCTTGGCCTGACGTTGTCTGTTGTAGTAACCGGTCATTTCTGAAGCACAAGTCGAAGAGACAAGACGTGTTTTCAGTCAAGCGAATATTTTACGAAATTTCTGCTTTCGATTGAGCAAGTCAAGACTTGGAGATGAATAAAAGCGCTCTTAAGAGGGTAATGCTAAGATCAGTGATGTTATTTTTATAGGTTACACAGTATGAATAGCTGAACTAGGATAATGCTCTATTATCTAGGTCCAATGTACTATATATAAACCCTCCCCTCCCTATTTGCCTCCTAAAATCAGTTGAGTAATCAATTAAATTAAGAAAATGGACCGTGTTTCAAATAATTTAAATAAAAAAAATTTTAAAAACTTTTTTTTAAATACAACTTGAGTGTAATGTTTACACTACAAGAAATTCCGCGAAATAACTTGATATTCAAATTCTACTGTTCGAAGTGCAACGATAAAATACTATGACTTCACCTTGTATTGGACACCCTCGTACTTGAAGAAGTTCTAGTGATATCGTTGAGATACTTTTAAAATAGGCTACCGGTTTTATTCTTTATGCGAGGATTTTATCGTTTGATCCATCGATTGCCTTCTTCGTCTATAATATTGTACTGTGTCATAGAAAAAAGTAGAATTAAACTAAATGATATATTGGAGTAAGTTCTAGTACTGTTCATTTTAACTAAAGTTATGTCAAGGCAAGCCGTGCTTTATTTACATGAAAGAAGAAGACACGAAATATACGGAATACATATCCAATTTTTTTTTTTGAAACAATTTTGGATTCACTAGTTGCAATGTTTGGTTATTGTCAATGACAACGTCATGGTAACCGTTGCCTGACAGACTACGTTGTGTTGCATAGTATAATTTCAAGAAGTACTTGAAGTGCGATTTTTTAAATAAGTTTTCGTGAATGCGAAAAATGAGCTAAAATGTCCACGAAGATGAAAACTTTTTTGTGTCTGATGCATTCTAAAGAATTATTGTTAACGTTTTGGAAAAAAATTATTTGATCCCGTTATTATCTAAGATGTTTGCGAAGTTTTGAATTAAATTTCCAGTATTAAAGGGTTATTATAAAAATTGCTTTTTACCACTCACCAGTCTACATGTAACTGCTTAATATTAATTTGAGAATGAACTTAAATTTACGATAAAGATCTTTGATATAGAGAAAAAGAGACAAGTATAGCTGCATCATTTTTAAAAGAACATTGGGTAAGGGCAGGACAACAAAATAATTGATCATAGGTAAGGAGGAAATCGGAAAAACTTTTACGATTATAAAAAAAATTGAAGAAAATTCCTCCCCCCCCCCCACCAAAAAAAAACCTCGTAGAATAAAAAAATGGGGGCATAGCATTATTTCTTTTCGACAAAAAAAAATCTTGAATACGATAACGTTGGGGGTTCGAACAGGAGGGCAAAGCTGGGAGGGGAACTAAGTAAATTAAAAGACTATTCTCGGAAAAAGTGCTTGAAAAGTGCTTGGGGGATGGTCGGCGTACCCCCCCCCCCCCTCCGCTCGGGGCTGATATTACGTGCATGCATATGAATATATAATACAAATGTCGTCTTTAAAAAATAAATTAAAAAAACTTTTACTTACATAAAGTACAAATACTCTAGTATAACATATACTTTTAATCTGTATTTCAGAAGAGAGTTGATGTTCCCTGCTCTGCCTCGGAAAATGCCTCGAGTTTTTACAAGAGGCTGGGACTGGACATTTTGGCTCCGTCCTCAACTTCCTGGCAATCTGAGGAGGTCTCAGTATTGTTAACTTTATACTGTACATGTATTTTAAGTCTTAAAAGTAAGTTTAATTAACTAGTGTACATAAAACTATTTAATGATTCGGTACAACGATGATTAAATATATACAAATGTAGCTTGTATAGAAACTCATATAAATTATATAGTACATGTAAGTAGCTTAAATCTTATCAATGATAGTATAAATTAATGATTGAAATGCAGAGTTCCTATAGAATATTGCAACAAACTTGCTTACATTTTTAAGATTATTAACGTCATTCAATTTTTTATTCTTTTACAGGCTGGACCACCTAAGAAACGTTCTGTTCAGCAGGCGAGCTACACAGCACCCCTGACCACCACGCCCACTCCAAGACCTGACAAAGTGGGACAACAGTGGACCACGCCCACTCAAAGACCTGACAAAGTGGGACAACAGTGGACCACGTCCACTCAAAAACCTGACAAAGTGGGACAACAGTGGACAGCGCCCACTCAAAGACCCGACAAAGTGGGACAACAGTGGGTCAGTAAAAAATATATTTGTTGGTTGTTCATTTTTAAATCTGCAATAACTGCACATTATGAATAGTATCATTCGCTTTTAACAAACTGTTGTATTTATTTTAGCATCAGTCTCAGCAGAGAGAAAGGCAGGAACCGCATCATTTTAAACAAAATTATCCTCATGAAAACAGATACAATGGAAGAACTGCATCTGTAAATGTTGCTGCTACCTGTCGACCGCAACATGTTCCGGTCCTTCGTCCTCATGAGCAACAAACTCATTATAGGACAGGCGTGGTAAATAGTGGCAACACAAATCAGCCTCAACATGTGCAACCTACTCGCCCACATGGGTACCAAACTGAGACAAGGACTTACACTATGCATGGGAACAGCTTTCCCCAGCAACAGAGGGTGCATCCTACTCATCCACATACCAGAACTGAGTCTATGAGCACAGCTGCTTCTCACAAACCTCAACATGCACAGCAACATCAGCAGAGAGTTGTGCGCAAAGAGGTAAATTAGTTTGCATTCTTATGGGAAAATTCAGATTTTCACATTTTCACAATCTTTTAATCATTTGAAGATACACTTACTTGTTTGTTATTAAATAAATCAACAATTTAACTATCCGTTTATTTATTTCAGCCGCAGGTGAAGCCCATCAACAGGTATGCCCCACCTGATTACATGACAATAATGTATCACCCGACTCCGACACTAGAGGACCTCGGGTTAACCAGTTATCTGGATAGTCCTCCCTCATCACCCAGAGCTAGGTCACCAGCTCGGGAGACAGAAATGGCTGATTCTCCACCAGCGCAGGAGTCACCAAGGAGAGTCTTACCAGCTTGGGATGCACCAAGGAGTGTCTCACCAGTGCAGGAGTTACCAAGGAGGGTCTCACCAGTGCAGGAGTCACCAAGGAGGGTCTTACCAGCTTGGGATGCACCAAGGAGTGCCTTACCAGTGCAGGAGTTACCAAGGAGGGTCTTACCAGCTTGGGATGCACCAAGGAGTGCCTTGCCAGTGTGGGAGTTACCAAGGAGTGCCTCGCCAGCTCAGGAGACATCAGTGAGTGACTCCTCAGACTGGAAGTCCCATACAACTAACTCACAAGCTAGAGAGTTCAAGACTGCTATATCAGCAGACAAACAGTCACCAGAGACTGTCTCAGAGGCTAAAAAGTCCACACTGAATGTGACCAATCAGATGAGTGAGAGACACCAGACAATCTCAAACACTCAGATGGTGAGTACATTTAATTGACTGCTTAAAGTTGTAGTACACAAGTGGCATGTATGATTTATTGTAAAAAAAAAAAATAATACCAAGGTTTACATTTTACTTGTTTATAAACAAGTTTATATGTGAGTGTTAATTTTTTAACACATGGGAGTTACTCTGTTCAGAATGGTTACATGTAAAAAGGAATTTGATTAAACAAGTAAAACTTGTCTAATCAGGCCACCGCTGGTTCCAAGGAAATTGGCCGAATAAGGCTACATTCCGGATTAGACGATATTTTAAGCAATTGAATGTACTGCAAGGGACTAAAGTTTACCTTTTTTATTATACAAGAATTTGGATTATACAACATCCGGATTAGACAAGTTTCACTGTAAATGCATGAAAGCTTATACTTTATAATTAATATGTTATTTTTGGACGAAAGATATTTTGCCCTGTTATCCATAATTTTCTTCAATGATTAGAAACAATATCAATAAATTGAATGATATATGTTTCTTCTATTTCTTTTAAGAATCAACATTTGGCAACAAATGTTGAACCTCAAATATATGTCCCGAGCTCTGCCCCAAGAGGCTGGTACCCACCCATCAAGCTGTCATTACCAGAACCTGCATCAACTGAGTCTGTAATTAAATCTAGATCTGCTTCATACGCTGTGCCTAATTCAAAGTCAGTCAAAACCCCTGATGTTAACTCCACAAATAGCAAAGGACCAGGGTCTGGCTCTACATTGGCTGAGAAACAAGAGAAACGGGCATGTAATTGGGTAAGAGCAATTTTAGTCATAATTTTGAAGTTCATGTATCAGTCTTAATACCTATTTTAAGAGATTTTCCTACTGACATAACAATAAAGTAATGATTTTTTTTCTCTCACTCACAATATACAATGTAGCTAAGAAAAAAATAACAATGTTTACATAGTTTCTTGGATTGTGCTATACATGTTTGTTGTATGTCTATAAATACGTTTACTGTCTTTCAGACACTGATTGCTGAACAGTACTCGACAGAAAGTCGTAATTCTGTGAATCAGGAGCATAGGCGTGACGCATTGTACAGACTCTACAACAAAGATGAGCGTCAACAGACGCATACCACTAAGCGTCATCAGGATCACGCTAGTCTACCACACAGCAAACAGACATTTGATCAGGTAATTACTGTAAAGCTCAAATGGTTTGATTTTGGTATAAAAAACATTGTCATTTTAAAGAAATAATGTATTTGTGATTTTTTTTTCAAGATTCTGGCTGAGCAAATAGCTAGACAAGCTGAACTCAAAAGCAATAATAATAATAGCCAAGCTTTTCAAACTGGCACCAACCCTAGCGAGAAAAGAAACACTTGCCAAAAAGTAAGTCTGATTAATATTACTTTGTTAATTACATATACGTTTAATGAATAAATATATTCCTATTATATGTACAGATATATTTACATGTAGTATACATTTGTACACATTGTACATACAGGCCAAGTCAGTTAATACTTTTATTTTTTATATTACATATATTGAAAAAAAGCATATATTTTTTTGTTTTCCAGATGACAAAGACTAGTACTATTGTTTCCATTGTCAACATGGACGACCTGTTTGGTGGCGTGTCACCTTACAGCTGCTGGAATCAGTCTGCATCGGAAGACCCGAGGTTTTCATAACTTCCGGCTTCTGCGTACATTACTGCTGTGTTATGACATACACGTAATAATAACTCCATGAGGAACTGTTCTATCCCTTGATGAGAGAAAAATCTGTGACATTTTCAGAGACTTTTACTACCATGTCTTTCATTGCATTGCATGTGATAATGACGTATTGGATTATTTTTTCATGGCAATAACTTTTATCTTGTATATTTCTTTTTTAAATTATTTTCTTTTTTTTTTAAAGACTTTATATTTTCTATGGCTTATGACATATTGGATACTTTTTTATGACAATTACTTTTATATAATTGTTTAATTATTTATTTCTCTTTTTAAAGACTTCATATATTGTCTATGGCAATATGTGTATTTAGTAGGCACTGTGTGCCAGATGTCATGATTAAATTCTTTGTCTGACATATTCTCATTTTTCTCTAAGATAGTTTCGTGTTTTTTGTTGTTGTTGCTTTCTTTTTGAATAAACAACATGAAGAAAGATATTTCACGTGGAGTTGTTGTTTTAGAATACTCGTTTGGAGTTTTCGGTTTTGAAAATTGCTTTGCTTAAAAGTAAATGAAAAAAATTATCAAATGAAAGCATTTCAATAATGTGATATAGATATATGTATTTCGACATTTCTGTTTCAAAACGAAAATATATGCATAAATTACTTGACAGAGCGTCTCTTCAGGATTGCTTATGGAGCGTCTGTCTGTTCTAGTTGTGCGTCTGTCCCTCTGTCTTAGTCGAACGTCTCTCAAGCCTTACATATTTAAAACAGTAGGAGGAAGGAATAAGATATTTTATTACATTTTTAACAGTGAAATACTGTAATTTATTTACTGAATTAAAGTGATATTCTGACAAAGTGTGAAAGGATATCAAAATGGTATTCTCACAGTGTGAGAATATCAGAAGTGCGGCAAAACTTACGATTTTCCTTCCCTTTACGAAGAGTGTTTTTCTGAAAAAAAAAATCCCTGGCCTGTTATAAGATAGAGTTAATGAGCCATCCTGACAGAGACTAATAGTTATATACCGCCAGAGTTTTTCTAAATATGTCAGTTAAAAATCTATGTTTACAACGTTTTCCAATCTCGCAATCGCTTTGCTATGACGTCTCAACCGCTCAGCTATGACACTGTGTTACGAAAAGGCAAAGGCGAAGGGAAAATCTAAGAAAATGTAATAAACAGAAAATTCAATGTTTTGTAGATGAATATGCAATTTATTTCACTCGTGAGAAAGAATTTTTTGATATTTTCACTCGTGCTTCGCACTCGTGAAAATAAAAAAAAAATCCTGTCCCACTCGTGAAATAAATTTCATATTAATCTACAAAACATTTAATATCCTCTAATATCATTCTTTCATGTAAATTATTTGAATCTTTTTCGTCGAGAAACATTTGTTAAAAAACAGTATTACCCGCTGAATAATGAAACCACGCCCTCCAGCGTAGCAACAGTAAACATTGCTTGACGACGGGTGTTATTCCAAAAAAATATTGACTGCGGAGAATTCATGCGCACAAGGCTCACTGTAATATGTTTTTGTATAAAACATTCAGTATAATATAATAAATACTGCATGTAGTTGAGTGTAACATTGAAAATTTTCACCCCTCGAAAACCATTGACAACCTCGGCTGCGCCTCGGTTGACAATGGTTTTCTTGGGGTGAAAATTTTCAATGTTACACTCAACTACATGTAGTATTTATATTTTTCTCATATTTTGCTTCGCATAATGGCTTTTGCAAAATATCATGGTAACTGATCTCGTGACATTGAACTCTGTTCAATAGATACACTATTTGCGGAGAAATTCTGTAAGCATTTTGAATGACACACACAACTGATTTCAGATTCGGAGGAATGCACAACGTCAACAGATATCCCGAAAAAAAAGTTGTAGAGTCGTCGCAATAGCCTATAGTATTGGGCGCTTGGTTTGTGATCGGGAAGTCGATTCGATATTCTAGCCCCCGTCGCCGCGTTAGACCTAATATATTACACAATTATTGACTGCATATGAGAGCAATATATGATTTGTTTGACCTGAAGGCGAAAATGTTGCCCGAGGCCGCAGGCTTACGCGGGTTATTATTTTTTCTGCAACAGCTGCGACATTAATTCCCGTACTAACGACCAAAGAAAGCATTTTATTGTTTATATTTATATCTCTATAAATATAATCATTTAAGGTAGGATTAAAAAGATAAATAAGAGGAGGTGTTCATCCGTAATTATGTAGATCATTATATATGCTTTATTCTGTTATCAGTGGTTCCATTCAATTACATCTGTTTATGTCAAACACATTTCAAAATAAGGTTATTAATCTACATAAAAAAACATAAATTAGGAAGTATGTGTTAGTCACGAGTGCTGGACTTAACCTAACAAAAAATGCTACAGTAAACTATAGTTAACTATTGTTTGCTATGGTTAACTATTAATAGTAAATCAAAGTTTCAAAGTAATAACTAGAGTAAATTAAAGTTTTTATAGTTGTTACCACTATAGTGTCATAGTGATCACTAGTCAAGTTTCCAAAGTGATCACTATAGTGTCATAGTTATCATTATAGTAAATCAGTTTTCAAAGTTATCACTATAGTATTTCATAGGTATCACTATATAGTGTCACTATAGTAAATTAGTTTTCACTATAGTGAATCAAAGTGTCAAAACTATCACTATTGTTAACTATAGTTTTCATAATGTCAAAGTTATCACTATACATGTAGATAACTTTAACTAACTGTGTAGTTTACCATAGTATTTTTTGTTAGGGTAATTGCAAGATTGATAGGTAGAAGGCATCATAGCAGTTAAACAGGAGATGTCTTATCTCCATACTATTGTCAAATAATCCCCATACTGTTCAATAAAATCAAGACGTATCACAACTGGGTTCTTATGTCAATAAGGGGGAAATGGCGTGCACATGTAGTATTGACGAGGATCGAAAAACGGAATACTGGTAAAGGAAAATAATGGTCTCAGGCATATGCCATCATCTCACCATGCTGACAGAAATCATGAAACTACAAAACTCTCTTTGATACACAATACAAATATAATATTCTTTTGGTCACAAAGAGTAAAGATTCCTTTTCAATACTAGTACCCCCCCCCTTCCCCGTGCGCTTACCACAACGAAGGGACACACATTATTTTATACTCTTAATGACGTTTCATTCTAACAGGGAGGGACTGTATTCATAATGTGTCTGTCCGTCTGCCTTTCTGTCGGTCTCAAAATAATGGACGGGCTTGGATATTTTAGAATGTTTATTTATCATACAATATATTGTATATCATCATACGATATTGGTTTATGTGCCATCACCGTCTTACATTACATTTTACCTAAAAAAAATGTAAGTATTTCATAAAAAAAGCACAGAGTTTTCTCCCTTTATTACATGACTATGGAGCGCTATATTACAGCAATGTACCATGACCACAAATGACCAAGACCCTTGATATTGGTGTAAAAAAATAACCTAAGCCATGTACTGACATACGAGGGCATAAGTGTTTCACAAACACATTTTGTTTTTCTTTTATCTTATCTGCTTATCTATGTTTACATTAAAGTTTCATACATTTTCATATAGTAGATTAAAACTTGGGCACCTGTGCTGATCAAGTGGAAATAAAAGTGTTGTGAGGGTATGTATATAAACGTGGCCATTCTTAAGAGGGATTCATAATGATATGTGCCTATTTTAGTTGTATAGATACAAATGATAAATGTCAAAAAATGTTTTCTCCAACTTTGAATTTTATTTTAGAGATACATTCCTCTATGGTACAAGATTGTAGAAGGCAGTACGTTGCAAAATGGTTAAAAACGAAAGTACCGGAAAAAAAATTTTAAAAAGGATTTTACATCCCTTTCTGTAAAAAATCAATTTCTTTTCGATACATATTGCATAAAAAGTTCAACATTTGATCACACACAGTCTATGCAAGTGTCATTACGACATAACTTATCTGCATTTACACACGAGCTGGTTATTTTTTTACAATTCAAAATCCCTTGGTGTTTTCAAATGCTTCTAGTTTCGAGATTATCTCCCTTGGTGCACTCTTTCGTTACGGAGGGAAGTTTTGTTTCCGCGTAAGCAGGCAGGTGGGACAGTAATATTTTGGATACATCACATCATCGATATACCAGTCCATCATAACTGATTGTCGATGTGTACTCATTGCCGAATTAAAGTAAAGGCGTCATTTTTTCTACGAAAAATAAAAACGGAACAAAAGAAAATAAAAAAATCGGAACAAAGGAAAATATCAGAGGATAAGACTTATCAAAGGAGGAAATAGATATGGATCTTTAATAAATACACACGCATCTAGTAATCATTGTACATCGGCATTCTGAATGACTCTTTTCCAAATAATAACTTCAAAGAGCCGTATAACTTTTTAGAAAAGGTTTTGTACAATCAAAGAATTATTTTTTTTATAAAGACTATGACGGTTCTTTCGTTTTCAAGAATCCTAACTGAAAGTAAATTTTATAAATATGTATAGAAGAGCTTTACAAAATCATAAAAAATGATCATTGCTTAGCATTATTCCTTTTTTTAACATCAAATGAATTTTAAAAGCCATAGCCATCGTTCTTTTATTCATTCAAGTTTTTATACATAATTAACAACCTGACATGTCACACTTCCATGCTGATATGGATACTTTTTGCGCCTCTATCGTAGGAGAGTTACGATCTCGAAACTCGCGTATTCTGTATCATGTTTTTGAACCTAGTTCTCTGGCCCAAGGAAAGATCAGTTGATTATGTATATAAATAAAAATGCATGTTAAATTCCTTGGATAAAGAAAGTAAAATCTTTTAACATCTTTAGTTTATGTCAAAGATACAAGATATGATCACTATGGGCTTTGGGGAATGGGTAATGTTTTTGCTTTGCAAAATTTTCATTCTTCTGCAAATCCTCTTTAGGTAGATGAACACTTTCATAAGACAGAAAGGAATTTTGCTTCAGATCATCAGATCTGGTTTTTAAGATTCGGGATAACTTACTTTCAATGTTTTAAAAATGTTTATAAGATGTTTTATGTATAACACTTAAGGAAATGGATTTCAAAACGTCAAAGTTACTTTGTATTTCCTAAAATATATTGGTTTGTTCCGAAATGTGGCTTTATTTTCAGATAATTACTGACCATGTATTCAGAGGAAGATGAACTTCTTGAGCACCAGTTCTCTGCATTTTCAGAGAAAAATGTACGATTAGGTAAGCAGATATCAGATCGATTTTGCTAACTGGAGATATGAGTACAAATTAACTTAGTTGTTATTTGCCTTTGCAAATGGTAATCTCCAATATGTCCAAAGCGACAAATATTCAATGATTCGTGTGTTTTACTTATTCTCAGAGTTTATTTCTACAAAACATATCAAAGTCGGAGGCTACGTAAATTAGATTTTATAGAATTTTTTAAGTACAATTATTTACAGTTGTTTACGTATTTAAAAAATGTTGTCATTTAAAGAGTTGTAACAAGCATTTCATTGTTAAATAATGTTAATATATACAATATCAGATTTGTTTTTGTTTCTTCTTTTTAAGGGTTTACACGAAAAGTGTATGGAATTTTGCTGTGTCAGATGGTTGTCACTATTTTGGTGATGGTGATATTTATGTATGTGTAAGTATATCTGATTTAAAACTTTGCGCACATGTATTTTAATGATCATACTGGATCTTCTCATTGTCTCCATCTTTTGTTGTAAGTTTGGATATTAATTTGGGTCTGTTTGCCCATCTGTCTGTCTTTTTTCCGCCTTTTATTCTGTCTGTAAGCTTCTGATGGTTTCATATTTTTCTCTAATGTGGGTTTACTATGTGGTGCTGTCTGTTTGAAACATTTGAACACGATGCAAGGATTCAAATTAAGTTTTGGCTTATAAACATATCATATAGCAAGAATTTTAAGCTAACCATGGCTTATCTTCGCGATTTGGTAGTAGCCCGTTAAAATTAACATCCTCTCGTAACGTACTGAATGCATGAAAGATAACTTTTGTTAGTTTTTTGATAAACATTATATGTCTTTTGTCGTTTGACTTGACATCTTGCATAAATCGGTCTTTTAACATAAAAACTTACTGAAAACTCATCTGGAAAATGCACTTCCTATCCCTGCGCTTACCGGTATGTGAATCTGCATTCAACCCAACTACGGCTGTTATTCATGATATGTAATATTTTCATTATATCATCGCATTGCATGTGTTTCTTTATTTACATGTATCTATGTTAATTTTTATCACTCCTCTGATTAGCAGTACAAAATTCTGCCCCTTGTTTGCATCTTCCTGGAACTCTGTGTCCGCAAAGAAAAGTTCTGCCAACATTATTGGCATAGCCTTTGAACAAGCAAAGCGTCAAACTTTACACCCACTAAAGAAACACTCTTACGGTACTTGTCAGGTCAATTCATTCATTAAAGATATTAACAGATTTCTACATATGTTCACGTAGTAAGAAATACATGTATGTTGATAAAAGAGAGAAAAACTAAGCTAAAGCTATTAAGGTTCATTGATACATTGATAAGAGAGAAAACTCTTAATGAACATATTAAATGGCTACTATTCCTTTCTGGATTGTCAAGTTGATTTTTTGTTTTTTGTTTTGTTTTTCGTTTTTTTTTTGTTTGTTTAATTTTGTCAGCTATGATTTCATTTGTTGTATCTAACTATAAAATACATTTCTTTCAGAAAATCATAAAAGAGTAAACAGAGGATTTATGAACTTATATATATTATTTTTCATCAATTACGGGAATTTTTTAAATTCTTTTTCACAGAGAACCTGTGAAAGAGTATTCTATGAATAATCCCTGGATGTGGTTTACTGCTACGTAAGTTTTGATTTATATCAGTAATACCTATAGTCCAGTTAATTTATCATTTAACATATAAATTATTGCAACATAAAGTATTTTATCATAAATAAACTTTAGAATGTACATAATATATGTGGTAAAAAAATTAACAAAATCGGAAGAGAGGAAAACAGAACTTGCAGTATATAAATTAAAATCTATGAAAATTACTAAAGAAAAGGGGAATAACTCTTGTCATTATAGTAAATTTTGGTTAAATTCTAACTCCATTTTTCGAAAAGGTTCAAAATTCTCCTTGCAGCTTTTCGAAATTTCACAGGATTGTTCTGTGACATCACATTTAGATCTTACATATTTGTTGAGAACCTCTGTTTTGAGGAAGATTACGGAAATCAATAGAAACGAAAGTTTTTTTTTTGGATGTCCCATTCAATGAAATTTTAGATTTCCGCAATTTCAATAGGAAAAAAATGAAATAAATTGCCAGTAAATAAACAAATTTGATTTGACATACACCGAGCACTTCTAAACAGTTACTTGTTTCCAAACGATAATGAAGTTTTTCTATCTTTTATCTTTAAAAGTGACTAATCAAACATCTTCCGTGTCCTGCAAATATGTCCCGCAGCCTAAATGACATCATGTCAAATACGTATTATAATTGAAAGCTTATGACTTTATTCCGAATTCATTTTCCAAATTGGTTAAAATTTAATTCAATGTGAAGTACCTAAAAATTACTTTCGATACATGTAGGTTTTATCAGATCTTATCGGTTATTACAAAAATTACAAAAGAATCGGAATGTCTTGCGGAAGTGTCCCCTAGCTGGATAAAAGACTTCTGGCGTTCTTAGAACACACAATTCGGGATTGTACGTTTATATGCATTTCATATGTCTTTATAAATTAAGGCATTTTGTACCTTTCAAACTTTATGTCATTACATGTAAATTTTCCGATTGTGCGTCTTTTTTTTTGGGGGGGGGGAGGGGGGGGGGGTAAGAAGATGATCATCATCAAACAATCATCTAAGTTTAAATTTTTAAATCTGCAGTTGTAGAGTTGGCATACCTTAACCTCACATGGATTAGAAAAGACAATTATAGGAAAATAGAAACATTATTCTCCTCTTGGCGAATTGCTTTAATGATAAGAAAATACTTTTAGCCAAGATTCTGACTACAAATTACGGGTACTATTAGCTCAATGTGATTAATTATTCTCTAAATTTATATACACCACACGTCAAAATAATCCCTTTCGACGTCATTTTTGGTGTTTCAACGTTAAGTAGCAATTCCTGACGTTGCTTCGGTCAATATTAATATTTTTCTGGTGAATAACAAGCCATATTCACCACAGAAAGAGTCCATAATTGTATAATATTCCATTCTCAATGATCGTGTAGTGTAGAGCGGCGCCGCGAGAATTCCATCGACATCGAACGCAAGTTTTAACTTGCGTAGATGGCCGAGCGGTCTAGCGCCTTGTTCCTGCACTGCTAGGAGACGGGTTCCGTAGGTCGAGAGTTCAAGCCCGAGTTGGGGCGGAAGTGGGTATCCTTGTAAAAAGATTTTCTTTGTGTTCTCTCTCTTTCTCTCTCTAATTAAATATATGTTCAAATCTGAATACACTCTCATAGAGAAACGTAATTATAAAGTTTTTCCTCCTTTTCCGAAGTAGTTCTCATAGGTAATTAATATACTGTACATGCTAGATGACATTTATCACAAAATAATGTCTGTTGCAATTAGTTTGACGTTGGACCTAAAGCTTTGCTAGATTGACTGGACTATTAGTACTTCATCTCTTTGCTATTTTTTCCCCAGTGGTATAACTTTTGTAACCATGATTGTACTGGCGTGCTGTGAAGATGTCAGAAGAAAGTTTCCAATGAATATGATTTTCCTTGGTATATTTGTAAGTTTATGGCATGATTGATTTCCTGCTCTATGAGTTTATAAGGAATGGAAAAATGTAGTACAGTAGTAGATGTTTTTAAGGAATTCCACTAAAGGTAAATTTTTGTTTGTTAAAAAAAACATTTTTTACAATGACCAAATTTTGTCAATGTTCATAATTGTTGTGGCTTCAGAGTTACATCCCAGCAAACCTTAGTTATGTTTTGTTTAACTTTATAAACATGTGTGAAATGATTTAAATATCGATATAACCATATAAATTTACTCATCTATATCTAGTCTGCGTATGATATGCTAGTCACACAAGTTTGATGATGTACAGTATTCCATTTTTGCCTTTTGATGATGTACAGTTAACGTTTTTTCAATAGAACTGTAGTTAACTGGTCTTCAGTATTTTTGACATTATATGTTATTTTGTATATATGTTTTTCTGGCTTTACAAAACTGTTTTTACATTTTCATGTACTCGATTTTGCAGTTTTATTTATCATCGTCTTTTACAGGGAATGCTATTTTATTTGTGCGTTTTTCTCTGTCATTTATTTTCAGCCGCATGTTTGCAATATTTTTACATGGAAAATAAATGACATTCAACTCTCTGATGATCTTATTTTCTATGGTTGTGAGGCAGACATACATAAATACCATTTTGCCACTCCCACTTGGAAAACTGTTTAATGAACTTTTTTTCCAACTTGATAACTATACGGTTTGCATTGGTGTAACACCCAGGTCATATAAGAACATAAACAAAATTTAGGCACTGTTGAAACTGTTTATACAAGCAAAGAAGAAAATCCTTTAGCGGAACCTTAATAATATATGTATAGAATATTTGCATTTAAATTTGGTTTTTCAACAGGTCTGGTGCTACATATTTTCAGAAATATTGCTAACATGGTTTAAAAATGTACCATTAATTTATTTTCATTTTTTATAATTTTGAACAATAAAATTGAAAATAGTGTAATCAACAATGAAAGATTGCAAAACGACTGTGAATTCATTTTTTTTTGCTTCTTAGTGCTATCTATCATGTCTGTTTCACACTACTGGACTTAAAATTCCCTGATATTCTGAAAAATCTCTGATAAACTCTGTTACCCACTGACTAAGCACTGTTTTTCTATGAACACTGTACAGTCATTGTACAAAATCCCAGTACCTACTGTAATCCCCAGTAAATCACAATACAAACCTACTGTTATATTCTATACATCCCTGTACTTTACAGTACTTCCCCTCTGTACAGCCCAGTACACCAGTGTCTGTCATTGTACGCCTTCACAGTACAGTACTGTACATCACAGACGTGTACAATACTCAGCTTCTGTACAGTACACCACTGTTGCTCACTGTACGCATCCCAGTCTGACAGTCTACACCACTGAAGTTCAATGCACGCATCCCAGTTTGGCACTGTACATTACTGAATCATACTGTATGCAGACCAGTGCACTAATGTGCTGTCCAGTTTCAAACTGAGGATAGACAGACTTGCACTTATTTTTCTTAATACCCTCTAAACGACCGATGTTACATAAAAAAATAATACTAATAAAACCTCTGACATTTTTCTTCGAAGTATTTACAGTTTTATAAAATCACATTTTTTCATATATATATATATATATAAATATATATTTTTTAAAAAGTAAGACTTCTGAATTTCCGTGTTAAATTTTAATCTTCTGTTTTATCTTCCATATCTATTTGTTTAGAAGCCTTGAATATTTTAGATTTATTAAGGAAATAAAATTAAACTTTTGAATTTCCGGATTAAATTTTATTCTTTTGTTTTAACTTCCATATCTAATTACTCAGAAGCCTTGAATGTTTTAGGCTTATCAAGTGAATAAAATTTTATTTAAAAAAATGATATTTCTGAGCACAATTAATAGTACACTTAGTACACACTAGCTAGTACCATATATAAAAAAGTAGGGAATCAATCATATAGATTATACTTAATATTATATAATGAGTAATTATGATACCACTAGTCTTAAAGTTTTGAATTGACTGAGCAATTAAATCATATACTATTATTTATAGCATTGAACAATTTTAACGTCACATTATCATTTTCCATAGTTCAAACTGATTTGATAGGCAAAGTTGCATGCTAAGAATAATTTTGAAACAGTGATATATTATATGTTTTAATTTTTTCCTTAAAAAATAGCAATTAAGTCTCTCTTTCTCTCACTCACACATTTATCTGTTTATCCTGTCTCTATAATTATTTTGAACAACTGTGATAAAAAAAATTTAATTATTGTTTAAATTGGATTGGGTGGGTTGGCTGGGGGTTAACATGTACACTCAACAGGAAATGTACACCAAACAGGAAACGGGTGAATTAAACGGTGGACAGTAGCCAGAAATTGAAAACAATAGGTGTCGAGACTGAGTGTCCTGATATATCAAAAAGGGATGGTTACGCAACAGCAGGAAGCAATATACTTATAATGTCTTGAGAGCTTCAAATTAAAGAATTTTATTGAACTAATAGAAGCACAAATTCAAACACAGATTTAGATTGTACATAATGAGACGTTTATTTTGACATCAATAATCAAATAATTAATGAGATAAAAAAAAGTGTTCAAAATATTTTCATTATTCTTTTTAATTTTTTTTTTATTATAATTATTTTTTTATTTATTTATTTATTTATTTATGGTTAATCATTTGGATTGTAAATATTTCTTTAAGTCTTCAAATATTACTTCTTTAGTGAGAGCTAGGTAGCAAACAGACAAGAAAGGAAGAAATAAAAAAAAAAAATTAATATTGATAATAATTATCATATATTTGGACGAAAAAGGGAACATTAGCTGATGTGTTATTTGCTGTATGCGTATATACTTCAGATAAAAGTATGTCGACATTATATTGCATGAATTTATCGAATCAGTCATATTTACACATTGTAGTTAGAAAGTTTGCTTTACAGAACCACTCTGCAAAAAAAAATCAATGTAAGTGCAAGAGTTTTAATCAATCAGGGTTAAATAAGTTTCCAAAGTTGTGTTTCATATACAACACACTTTGCACACCATTAAGCTTAAAATTAGAGTATTACATTGATAGGAATATTCAATTTTATTAACTTGTATGGAACGTGGAACTGTAGCTGAATGGGACAGAGAAGTCAGACAGACAGCCCTGGATCTCTCTAAATTTTCAGTTCTGCGGCTTATATCTCTCTTTGTATCAATTACTTGAATGTCCCAAGTTTTTTTCTTTCTTTCCTTTTCAATCAAACTGAACAATAAGGAACTTGAATAAGAAAAACCATATATTTACCAGGAATTCTTAAAGTTATCTTTTATAGCTTATTTCAGACTTTGTGTGAGTCAGTATTGCTAGGAGCAACAACAAGGTAATTTTGCAAGCTACATTCTTGTAAATTCTTATGAAATGATTTCTATTTACAAGCACTGAGTCTGGCTAATAACCTCTTTTTTCTGTTCTCTATAATCAGTTACTATGATGAAGTATCCGTCCTACTAGCCGTGGGAATCACTGCAGTGAGTTAATTTATATTCATACATTAAATGATATTGAATGTTGTTTGATGTCTAATAAATAAAGAGGACTTATCTGTTTGTCAAAACCTGAATATATTCATCTATATATTATTCATCATATACTGATATTTTAAATATTATTGAAATAATTTTGTACATAATTAATAAATGAAAAAAAAGTTTTAAATAATAAATGTGCAAAAATAACATGAAAATGGTTTATGTAAACTGCAAAGAAATATTGAACTGGTTTCAGCTTTTTAACCTTTTGCACATTATTGGAGCACTATGATAATAATTCTTTTTTAAGATTTCTGTAGGAACACTTTTGATACAAGGTATACTGTATATGCATGTAAAATCTCATTTTACTTTCCTTTATTTGCAGGGTGTATGCTTAGGCCTTACTCTCCTTGCATTTCAAACAAAAGTAAGCGTGATTCAGTTTTGACTAACACGAATGTAAAAGAACAAATTTCGTCAATGTTTCCTAAAATTTTATTAATTTTTAAAGGTATATTTGGAACAATTAGGAAAGTCAGAACATTATTTGATAATGCTATGTTTCCCTTTTGACATTGATATTATTGATGCATTTTTTCTGAGTCTTTTCTATTGTTGATATTTCAGTTTGACTTCACTATGTGTGGGGGTCTGCTCTTCGTGTTTCTAATCATCTTGATAGTTTTTGGTATCTTTACTGCTATATTTCAATCTAAGGCAAGTAAAATCTGGAATTAAAATATCTATATAAAAAGCATAGACCTAATCTTGCATACTTTTATTTATTAATTCAATGCAATGTGTTTGATTGTTTTGTATAGTATAGTTTTATTGAATATTCTAACATAAATACATGTACATGCATAAAAGTTTAAAGAATTAAGAAGGAAATTTCTCGACTTTACCTTGCAATACATATTTGTATAAAGAACTAATCCAATTTTCCAATTTTAGATTCTGTCTGTAGTTTACGCCAGTGTTGGAGCACTTTTGTTTTCTTTCGTAAGTAATGCAACAGTACTTATCTCAACAATGGTTTAGAATTAATTCTTTACCCTCTTGCATTGTATGTTTGCAATAGTTTGAAGATTTATCTTTCATATATTTGATTGCAAAGTATTCCTTTAGCAAAAAAGAAAAAAAAAATTGATAAATTATCAAGTTGACTTACATTTCATATGTTTAAAAGGATAATGGTACATTTATATTTTTTTATCTTACCAACAAAAAAAAAGCATAGTAAAAGACAATTATAAGGAAATGACAAGATGAAGATAACGAACAGTGATCGATCTCATAAAAAAAATCTATAATCAATACAAATTTGTGAGCAGGGCATAAAACACGGAACCCTGAAAGTTCCAGATGTGGGATCAGGTGCCTAGGTGGAAGTCGAAGGGATTGAATATTGGTTTACTGATAATTAAGGTTCTTTTATCCTAAAAGGAACACAGTTTTTCTTAGGGATTCATAAAAGCCTTTTAAAACCTACTTCTCATTATAAGCTCATCATAAGCTTGTACTTTATAACCAGCTTGACAGTATTTGGGATTGTTTTCAGTATCTGGTCTTTGACATACAACTCATGTCAGGTGGGAGTCATACGTACAGCCTGTCCCCGAGGAATACGTTTTCGCTGCCCTCAACCTATACTTAGACATTATCAACCTCTTTTTCTTCATCCTGTACATAATCGGCCGATGCAAGAACTAGGTAAAAGGAAGGGCAAGTAAATCCTTATTTCTAGATTTATGTAGACCTTGATTGAAAATTTTAAACAGCTTTTAAATCATTTGTTATCTTATCGTGTTTTATGAATTTATTATTAATGTTTCATTTGAGTTTGAAAAAAAAACCCACTTGTATTTTAAATTGTTATGACAGTATTTCTTTTTTCCCAGTCAATGACAGTTTATTTCTCGAAATTCTTTACCTGTAAGAATGTTTTCAGATTTGCTACATAAAAATGCCAAGAAATGTTAACATTATAATTCTCGCCTTTTTTACTTTTTTTTTTTAAAGTAAATGTTATAAAGTACGAAAGCCGGATAGCCTCATTTTTGATAAGATAAAAAAAAAATTAACTCGTTATAACTAGATAGTTATCTCGTTATAACGAGTTAGTATCTCGTTATAACGAGTTAGTTATCTCGTTATAACGAGTTAGTTATCTCGTTATAACGAGTTAGTTATCTCGTTATAACGAGATAATTATCTCGTTATAACGAATTAGTTATGTCGTTATAACGAGACAGTTTTCTTGTTATTTCGAGACTTAATAGCAATATAGGAATAAAAATGGCTGCAGTTTTAAATGCCATTGAATTTTTAGCAAGTAATTATCAATCAAATTTAACTTGAACAATTGATAAATGGTTGAAAATTTAATTTGCTCTGGGTTAACTTATGATTAAATCTTGAACTATCTCGCTGTCAAGAATCATAGCAACTCTAAGGCGAACACATTTACAAATTTTCGTGAACTCCTCCTCAAATTGTTGCATTAGGACGCGATATTTTTCTTAAAATAATATTGCCAAACATACTAGCTCCAAACTTTGGCAATTTATTTATGACAACTATTTCTGATGAATGACACTATTTCGATATGTTTTGGACGACTTACCGGGTATACACTTTCATATATCAATTTCTATACCGCTAAAATTAAATATCAGAGACAATATAAGTGCAACATAGTTTATGCAACATATAATGTATAGATTACAGTGTTATACATTTGTTACTTCTGAGATTCAGAAATGTTTTGAAGACGGGGGGTGGTGAGACATCAGCAGTAAGATCAGAGGCGTAGTAATAGAGGGGCTAATGTCCACACCACCACTTTTGAAAAGGTAGCGGTCAAGAGTATCTTTGTGCCCCTTCCTCCATATTTTTTTTACCTGAGTAAATATCTCTCGAAAATAATGGCGAATACTCGTAGTTGGAATATCAAACCTATTTTTTTTTTCTTTTTACTTGTCAAATATTTTACTTGGTCCCCCCCCCCCTTGAACTTTGTGACTTAGCTTATGCATATTGTCCACGATAATGAGGAATGGTGAAGCAAAAATGATATTACATCCTTTTAAGTAATTAGACGTTAAATCTGATCTGCTGATATTGTCATTTTATCTAATATTCTGTCATGATTCACTGTTTATATTTTTGCGGGGGGGGGGGGTTCCAAATTGTGGAGATTCACGGAGACCTATTTGAGATTCACGTCTATTTGGCGGATCCTATATGTTTACCACATAGTGTCAGAACGTCAAACCAGAGTTTACAAAACAAAAAAAAAGTTTACAGAGTTTACAAAGCCAGTTCACTTTTATAATCTTTTTACTTAGGATTGATCAACGAATAGGCCTAATACTAAATATGTACATTTATATTATTAATACAACATTGAAACAATGTCGTTAATTATTTTCCTCATCACAATATTTATTATGTATACTTTACAAGCATATAATTTTAATTTCAAAAAGAAATTGATGATTTTTTTTTTTTGGGGGGGGGGGGTAATAAATAGAGGATATTCAATGTTTTGTAGTTGATATGGAATTTATTTCACGAGTGGGACAGGAATTTTTTTTTTTATATTTTCATGAGTGCGAAGCACGAGTGAAAATATCAAAAATCCTGTCTCAACATACAATACACATTTCTTGGCAAAATTTATGCTTGAGAAACACCTTAAGTAATGCTTATCATATTGTAAACTTTACATATTAAACTTTCATTCTATACCCAAAAAGGATCACATGTCAACTGTTTTTACTAATGCTGACCTTCACCTTTATTTGTGGCTTCCGTAGAATAAAGAGCTCCAAAAGTTTTTTTAATTCTACCACATTGATAATAACGCAAAAAATACATGTTGTAATTTAAGATTCCATGCCAAATTGGTAAATTAAAATGTTTCTTTCTTTTAATAAACAGAAGAAATATATAAATTATTAAGTGATAAGTACAGTATTAGTTCTTGATATTCATCATATTTATTATTGAGGGGAAGGAGGGATTGATGATAAAAACAACGTGAATTTAGTTTTTTGTCAGACATTGAATTTTGATCTTGCCCCTTTAAGACGATAAAATTGAACTGGTATTCCTTGTTAACAGGCAAGGAATTATCAAAATATGATCGTTAAAGCCTAACAAATGGTTTCATATCCACATGATTTATTCGGAATATTTAAAATAATGGGATTATTTCTATGCATTTTTTATTGCGACAAATATTACGCAAACATTATTATAATTTTAACAAATTCAAGAAAGCTTGAACAGGGCAGTTAAATCAGCCAGAGTATATCATTTTTTTCTGATTTCCTTGTACAAGTTGACAAAATTTTGATGTTATATACATTCCATTTGAAGATGACACTAATTCTATTTTTCAATTTTAAGGTATAACACAACAACATGAGGCGGTCACAAGTTTCCGTATATTTGTCTTCGGTCTTTCCAATAAACAATACTAATCAAAGGCATAACACAAAAAAAAACTAGTATGCTGTTCCATAAAATCTTTATCACGCACACTTCAAACAAATTTGATCGACTTGCTTCTGTATATTTCCTATAAATAATGGTCTATTCTTTACTTAGATATATCAATTCTAGATCAATTTTTATCTCGTTATAACGAGATAATTATCTCGTTATAACGAGATAACTAACTCGTTATAACGAGATACTAACTCGTTATAACGAGATACTAACTCCTTATAACGAGATAACTAACTCGTTATAACGAGATACTAACTCGTTATAACGAGATACTAACTCGTTATAACGAGATAACTAACTCGTTATAACGAGATACTAACTCGTTATAACGAGATAACTAACTCGTTATAGCGAGATAATTATCTCATTATAACGAGATAACTAACTCGTTATAACGAGATATTAACTCGTTATAACGAGATACTAACTCGTTATTACGAGATAATTATCTCGTTATAACGAGTTAAATATTTTTTTTGTCTTGTCAAAAATGAGCCTATCCGGCTTTCGTAATAAAATTAAAAAAAATATGAAAAAATAATTTCTTGAAATACTGAGGACTAAGTATCAAAGAGAAAAAAGACAATGCCAAGCCTGAAATTATTTTACATTTTCATGTAATGGTGTGAATTCTACGAAAGCCGGATAGGCTCATTTTTGACAAGACAAAAAAAAAAAAAATTTAACTCGTTATAACGAGATAATTATCTCGTAAAAACGAGTTAGTATCTCGTTATAACGAGTTAGTATCTCGTTATAACGAGTTAGTTATCTCGTTATAACGAGATAATTATCTCGTTATAACGAGTTAGTTATCTCGCTATAACGAGTTAGTATCTCGTTATAACGAGTTAGTATCTCGTTATAACGAGTTAGTATTATCTCGTTATAACGAGTTAGTTATCTCGTTATAACGAGTTAGTATCCCGTTATTACGAGATAATTATCTCGTTATAACGAGTTAGTTATCTCGATATAACGAGTTAGTATCCCGTTATAACGAGATAATTATCTCGTTATAACTAGTTAGTTATCTCGTTCTAATGAGATACTAACTCGTTATAACCGAGTTAGTTATCTCGTTATAACGAGATAACTATCTCGTTATAACGAGTTAGTTATCTCGTTTTAACGAGTTAGTTATCTCGTTATAACGAGATAAAAATTGATCTAAAGAGTTGATATATCTATGTAAAGAATAGACCATTATTTATAGGAAATATACAGAAGCGAGTCGATCAAATTTGTTTGAAGTGTGCGTGATAAAGATTTAATGGAACAACAGCATACTAGTATTTTGTGTTATGCCTTTGATTAGTATTGTTTATTGAAAAGACCGAAGACAAATATACGAAAACTTATGACCGCCTCATGTTGTTGTGTTATACCTTAAAATTGCAAAATAGAATTAGTGTCATCTTCAAATGGAATGTATATAACGTCAAAATTTTGTCAACTTGTACAAAGAGATCAGAAAAAAAAATATATATACTCTGGCTGATTTAACTGCCCTGATCAAGCTTTCTTGACTTTGTTAAAATTATGATAATTTTTGCATAATATTTGTCGCAATAAAAATGCATAGAAATAATCCCATTATTTCATATATTCCGAATTAATAATGTCGATATGATACCTGTTAACAAGGAATACCAGTTCAATTTTATCGTCTTAAAGGGGCAAGATCAAAATTCAATGTCTGACAAAAAAACTAAATTCACTTTGTTTTTATCATCAATCCCTCCTTCCCCTCAATAATAAATATGATGAATTTCAAGAACAATACTGTACTTATCACTTAATAATTTATATATTTCTTTTGTTTATTAAAAGAAAGAAACATTTTAATTTACCAATTTGGCATGAAATCTCATGTACAATATGTATTTTTTGCGTTATTATCAATGTGGTAGAATAAAAAACTTTTGGGGCTCTTTATTCTACGGAAGCCAGAATAAAAAGGTGAAGGTCAGAAGGCTGAAATGTAGTGCATGTAGGAAATTCACATGCCTCACTTTGACAATAGTAAAAACAGTTGAAATTTTTGTGATCCTTTTTGGGTATAGAATGAAAGTTTAATATCTAAAGTTTACAATATGATACGCATTAATTAAGGTGTATTTCAAGCATAAATTATGC